TGTCTTATATAGTAAAAGCCTAATATGCAAATTGTCCCTTCAACCAGGAGTTCAACCAGGGGGTGGGGCCAGGTGGCTAACCACCCAAGCCCTGCCCTGGCCCTGGCCAGCAGAGGCAGCAGCAGCAGGCAGCGGGGGAAGGGAGGCCCCGACTGGCAGCTGGCAGCCACTAGGGACTCTACCTGTGCATGAGTTTTGTGCTCTGGGCCTCTAGTATATATATATATGTGTGTGTGTGTGTGTGTGTGTGTGTGTATGTATATGTATATATATATATATAAAAGCCTAAACAACCAGTCAACTGATTGACCTGTCACTATGATGCATACTGACCACTGGGGACAGATGCTCAACACAGGATCTGCCCCCTGGTGGTCAGAGTGCTCCCACAGCGAGAGCACTGCTCAGCTGACTGACAGTCACCAGATGCCAGACTCACAGCTGGTTATCCCCAAAGTGACAGCAAGCCTACCCAGTGGTGGTGGTGGCAGGCTCAATGGGGCCAGGATGAGTAGGAGTGGCGAGGTGCACTGCCAGGGCTTTGGCTCCTCCCAGGCCACCTGTCACTTAGTGCACGACTACAACCCTTGGGGGATATTGGACTGCTGGCTTTGGCCAATATCCACATTCCAGGAAGAGGGACGCCATGGATTCATGCACTAGACCTCTAGTTGAAAATAAGCATATGTTAATCATTTTCAAAACTTAGATGGATAAGATAGATTTATTGGTGAACAACCAATTAATTTACCACAACCAATTCAGAAGAAATAAAATTTCAAAATAAGTTTAAATTTATAAAAATATAAAGCCCAGGGCAGATAGAATTGCTGAATTCTAGGAAGTTTTTAAGAATGAAATAAGATTCCAAATCCTTCAAAAGAAGAAAAGAAAACTGCCAATCATTATTCCTCATGACCAGATACAAAATTCTTCATAAAATACTAGCAAATCAAATTAAGTAATATCTGTAAAAAGCATAATATATCCTGACAAATTGGGATTAATCCAGGAAAGCAAAGTTTATCTTTGAAACCAGTCAATAGAATTGACCATAATAACACAAGTAAGGAGAAAGGAAACAGATGATTTTTCAAATATATACATAAGAAGTAGTTCATAACTATTAAAATAAATAAGTGAAGTTAATAAGGTGATAACAGAACAACATATGAAATTAAATTCATATACACTAAGTGGCCAGATTATTATGATCTCTGAATGCATAATAATCTGATCACTCAGTGTATATCCTATGTAATAAAAGGCTAATATGAAAATTGTCCCCTCCAACAGCAGGCAGGCCATGTCCATGTCCATGAACCAACCACCCATGTCCCCTCTGCCTGGCTAGGCTTGCCAGACCTCACACATGCACAAATTCCATACACCAGGCCTCTAGTATATAAATTCATGCACGGGGGTATGTGTCCCTCAGCCCAGTCTTTACCCTCTCCTATCTGGGACCACTTGATGGATGTCCAACTGCCTGTTTAGGCTTTATCCCAGCCCAGCCTTCACCCTCTCCAATCAGACATCCCTCTCACAATCCAGGATTGCTGGCTCCCAATCATTCTCCTGACTGCCTGATCGTCCCTAACTGCTTCTGCCTGCCAGCCTGATCACCCTCTAACCACTCCTCTGCCAGCCTGATTAATGCATAACTGCTCCCCTGCCAGCCTGTTTGCCCCTAACTGCCCTCCCCTGCTAGCCTGCTCCCCCCGACTGCTCCCCACAACTACTCTCCCCTGCAGGCCTGGTTCCCCCCAACTGCCCTCCCATGAAGGCGTGGTCCCCCACAACTGCCCTCCTATGAAGGCCTGGTAGCCCCAAACTACCCTCTGCTAAAGGTCTGGTTGCCCCAAACTGCCCTCCCCTGCAGTCCTGGTCCCCACTAACCGCTGTACCCTGCAGACCTGATTTCCCACAACTGCCCTCCCCTGCCAGCAATCTTGTAGCAGCCATCTTTGACCACATGGGGACAGCCATCTTGAGTATTGGAGTGACCATCAATTTGTATATTAATCTTTTATTAGATAAAAAATATACACTGAGTGGCCAGATTATTATGCATTCAGAGATCTTAATGATCTGGCTACTCAGTGTATAATATAGAATAGTTGATAAAATTTTATGAACCCTCTTAGTATAAAAATCAAATATTCAGAAAAAAAAGTTTAACACAACCATACTTTGAAAATGACAAAATATTATTGAGAGAAATTAAAGGTAAATAATGGAGAGATACGTCATATTTCTGGAGAGAATGACTCACTATTAAAATGCTTAATTTCTCAACAATAAAAAAATTAATCTCTCCAATTTGATGCATAGATTCACTGTGTTTTCAAAAAACATTCCAATAATATTTTGTAGAAACTAACAAGCTGCTTTGAAACAGTTCTGCCAAAACAATTTTGCAGAAGAAATTAAGGGAGTATTCACATTATCTGATCTCATAACTTTCTATAAGCTACAGTAATCAAAACAGTGGTTTGGCAGATGGACAGACATATAATAACAAGGAACATCACAGGGAATCCAGTAATAGATCCAATACGGTTAACTGGAAAAAGGAAAGTTAATAAATGATGCCAATGCAATTTAATATACACTTGGAAATAAGTAAGCCTCAACCCTCAGACCACATGAATTATTTGAAGACAAATTACATTCTTAAGCATAAAAGTTAAAATTATAAAGCTCGTAGAAGAAAATATCTTCACTAGAGGCAGGACACAATTTCCTAGGAAGCAGTAAATATAAAAAAAAATAGTTTGATAAACTGTAATGCACTAAATTTAAAAATTGCTCATAAAAAAATTATTAAGAAAATGAATAGAGAACAAGGAATTTGTATACAGAGTGGTTATAGAATTTCTTCTAATCAGTAGCAGGAGGCAAACAACATACTTTTAAAAAGTTAAAGATTTAAGATATTTTACAAAAAAAAGTGAATGCCTAATATGTTCATGTAAACTTGCTCATCATCTTTACTCAGCAAAGAAAATTGAAGTGAATATTTTTACGCTCACAAGAATGGCTAAAATTACAAACTGGCAACATCAAATGTTGGTACAATATGGAAATATCCTATATAATAAAAACCTTATATGATGCCCTCATGCAATGTTTTCACAAGATGGCCACCACAGATGGCAGGCTAAGGAGGGCAGTTGTGGGTGATCAGGCCAGTAGGGGAGGTCAGTTGGGGGCAGCCAGGCCTGCAGAGGAGGACAGTTGGTGGTGGTGGGGGAGCAGGCCAGCATGGGAGGGCAGTTGGGGGGAGAGCAAGCCAACATGGAGGGCAGTTGGGAGTGAGATCAGGCTGGCAGGGGATGGCAGTTGGGGGCAACCAGGCTGGCAGGGGAGGGAAGTTGTGGGCTATCAAGTTGGCAGAGGAGGACAGTTGGGGGCGATCAGGCCAGCAGGGGAGTAGATAAGTGTCAATCAGGCAGGCAACCAAGCAGGCGAGCAGTTAGGAGCCAGCATTCCTAGGTTGTGAGAGGGATGTCTGACTGCTGGTTTAGGCCTGATCCCTGTGAGAGTTGGATATCACCCAAGGAGTCCCAGATTAAAGAGAGTGCAAGCTGGGATGAGAGACAACCCCCACCTTCCCACCCCTACATGCACAAATTTTGAACACCAGGCTTCTAGTTGGAAATAATATTCTTTGCTAGAGATCCTATAAAAGTATACAATTTGAAAAAAAAACATGTAAAGTCTTTTATAAAATCAAAGTATATCAATCCTGTTACCTACATATTCAACTTCTAGTTATTTCTTTCAAATATATGTTCTCAATGTGACTTATACAAGAATATTCATTCTCTGAAGAGTAAACAAATAACATATGATATATTCACATAAATTAATACTGCTCAGAATTATTAATTGCTCTCTCTCTATATTTATACACACAAACAAAAACAAACAAACAAACAAACAAAAAGACATTATGTTTAGTGAAAGAAGCCAGATGCAAAATATTATGTTCTGTACCGTTCCATTTATATGTATTTTAAGAATAGGCAAACATAATCCATAGTGATTGGGAACAATTTTCTATAATAATGATAGTAGACTTAATAGGGATTTCTTCTTCAGGATAGTATATATAGATTACAAAGTTTCTTTGGGCCTGTTTCTGATTAAATTTTGACCTTTGCTGTTGTTGTTGCTGTTGTTGTTGTTTTTGGCTAAGAAAAAGCACATAGATTTGAAGTATAATACACTTCCTTGGATAATTCCCTCATTTCCTATTATATTTCACTAGAGGTCCACTGCATGCATGTGTGTACCTGTGGAGTCCCTGGCCTGTGACCTCTTGCAATTTGGGACCCCTCGGCATACATTGCAGTGCATGAAGCTGCAGATAGCTTGAGAGGAACATGAGCCCAGGGTGGGCACCATGCTGTTCTCACTCATTCCAGTCCCGCTGTGCCTGCTGCTGCTCAGAAGTGCTGTTGCAGAGGCGGGAGGGACTCACATCACCACAGCTGCACTCGCCAGCCAGCTGTGAGCCCAGCATCTGGTACCCTTCAATTGGTCAGATGAGTGGCACTTCTGCTGTAGAGAATGCACGACCCCCTGGTGGTCAGTGCCTGTGATAGTGACCGGTTGAATAGTCGACCAGTTGCTTAGGGTTTATGTGTATGTATATATATATATATATATATATATATATATATATATATATATATATATATATATATATAGATAGATTGGTATCAACATTACTAGTAAAACTATTGATTAAACATAATTTTCAAATAACCTTTCAGCAGTTAAACTCAGTAATTATAATTTTAAGAAGTTTATGGGAGTCTTAACAGCATGAGCAATTGCTAATCATTTTTGTAAGCAACTCTAGTCAGCTAACCTGATGTGTTTACCCATTCATTCATTACTGCATATCCACTGTCAGGATGGAGATTCAAAAATTATCTACATGCCACCAGCTAAATTATTATGCACAGACAACATAGGTTGGTACTCACCGATTATTATTGGTTGTGGTTCACTTTTTACTCCAACCCCTGCACTGGTACTTGCTGCAACCTCTACCCGGTATTGAATACCTGGGAATAATCCACTAATTATTACAGACCGAATGGCTGCATCCACACTTTTGTTGATATGAAATCGTGTTTCATTTCCAAGACACCAGATCTATAGAAATGTAAAGGGAATAACAAAACAAAAAATGTAGGATTATCCTTTCTCATAATTAGATCAATATAAAAGATAAAATATATTTAGTAGTGATCAACTACTTCCTAGGCTTATAGAAGTATTTGTTATTGACATTTTTAAAGCATAATTTCTGCAGTGTGTGTGTGTGTGTGTGTGTGTGTGTGTGTGTGTGTGTGAGAATTAAGGAAAGAACAATAAGGAGAGCTGAAACTATGCCATATTCCTTTATATCTAATAATCAACACTGAATGCTCATAACACAGTAATTCACTTAAAGCCCGTATACAGTGGTCCCTGGTTGAAAACAGCATTTGCATAGGGATTAAAACATAAATTCCTCTTCTTAATTTACTTTTCAAGATTAATTATACATATAATCTATTAAAATATGACTGTAACTTGTAATATTCAAAGTACATATGTGTACATCTAAGTAATTTATATTTCATTTAAGAAAATATTAACTTACATAGAAGTAGCTAACAAGATTAATTGACTTAAGTTATAGGTATTGACTGAGATAAAATTAAAGTGAATACTTACATTGATAGTAATAAATCTTAATATTGATCAATATATCCACACGCAAGTACATATGCATGAGAACAAAGTGTTGGGAAGTTTTTAAATACTAATGTGATGAAAGTTGGATTTTTACTTCTAGTAATAATAAAATTTTAAGGCATACATTCTTCTGGGATATGGAAATCTGTTACTGTGAAAAGTGTTATAAAAAGAAATGTGCTCTCTCTATATATATTTGTATTCTTATTTTATAGTATTTTACAATCTAGATACATAAAGAACATAAAGGGTTTATTTCTGGCATAGGTAAACTTCCTGAAGCTAATTCTTTAAAACGATATTTGTGAATTGTATATTTCTTTGATTTACACTATGATACCTGTGTTACTTTGGAGGAATATTTATTCCTGACCTAAATATATATTGTTACCAAAATATGGCAATCTCATATAATTGAGAAAGCTTATAATTTGTGACAAAATTTGTCATGTAAAAAAATTAATTTTTAAGTAGATGGAAGTTTAGGATATTTAGTCTCAGGTTAAGCAATAGTAAAATGATAACCTTATCAAAACTCACAAACACACACACACACCATAGCAGATTATTGTTGCTCTTAAAACAATGTGTCCTAAAACTGAAAAATCTTTAAAATCTATATAGTTTTTCTGTTTTAAATCACGTTATTCTCATATTTCTTATACCCATGTTTTTTTAATCTGATGGGAATAATTTTAAGTGCTTATGCACATTTTCCCCACTTGTTTCAGTAAGTTAACTATACATTTTAAAAATTATATTTTAAGTTTATAATTTTTCTTAGAAATAACATAATTCAATCTGTAATGTTTTGTGTGAAACAATTCAGCTTAATTTCACATACCATACATTAATTTCTGGGGCCAAGTAGGGTGTGTTGTTTTCTATCTAATAGAACTGTCTAGTTATTGTTCTCAGAATTATGAAAATATTTACTAGTAAAAAACTATAGTTTTAAATTTTTGCAAGTTTTAATGAGGTTTAATGTGCTCTAATTACATCACCTAATCAGAATTTTATTTTGCAGTTATATATCTTGTGTTTATAAAAATCAAATGATGATGAAGAAACAATAAATATATACTGTTTCTTTTTGTAAATAAACATTTATTGTTCAGATTATTACAGATGTTCCTCTTTTTCCCCCTGTAGCTCTCCTCAACCTGGTTCATACCCCACCCCATGCTATTATCATCCGCCACTGTCCTCATCCATAGGTGTAAGATTTTGTCCAATCTCTTCCTGCACCCCCTACACCCCTTCACCCTGAGAATTGTCAGTCCACTCCATTTCTATGCCCCTGATTCTATTATATTCACCAGTTTACTCTATTCATCAGATTTTTTTTATTCACTTGATTTTTAGATTCACCTTTTGTTAGATATGTACTTGTTGTCACTTTGTTGTTCATAATTTTTATCTTTTCCCTTTTCTTATTCTTCCTCTTCTTAAAGAATACCCTTCAGCATTTCATATAATACTAGTTTGGTGGTGATGAACTCCTTTAGCTTTTTCTTGTTGGTGAAGCTCTTTATCTGACCTTCAATTAATAATGATAGCTTTGCTGAGTAGACTAATCTTAGTTGTAAGTTCTTGCTAGTCATCATTTTGAATATTTCTTGCCACTCATAATTTCAGAGAAATCAGCTGATCACCCCCAACTGAGAAATCAGCTATCAGTCATATGGGTACTCCCTTATAGGTAACTAACTGTTTTTCTCTTGCTGTTTTTAAGATTCCCTCTTTGCCTTTTGCTCTTGGCATTTTAATTATGGTGTGTCTTGGTGTGGCCCTCTTTAGATTCCTCTTCTTTGGAGTTCTGTGCTCTTTCTGGACTTGTAAGTCCATTTGTTTCACCAGGCAGGGAAAGTTTTCTGTCATTATTTCTTCAAATAGGTTTTCAAAATCTTGATTTTTCTCTTCTTCTGGCACCCCATAATTCAGAAGTTGGTATGCTTGAAGTTGTGCCAGAGGCTCCTATCTTCATATATTTGGATTCTTTTCTCTTTTTGCTCCTCCAGTTGGGTATTTTTTGCAACCTTGTATTTCAAATTGTTGACTTGATTCTTGAAATTCTCTAATCTACTGTTGAATTTCTGTATATTTTTTCTTTATTTCAGTCAGTCTATGCTTAATTTCTGACTGGTCCTTTTCCTTTTTTTTTTTTTTTTTTTTTTTTTTTTGGCATTCTCACTAATATCCTTGAAGGTCTCACTAAGTTCCTCAGAGGTTTCTAGAAGATTCTTGAGTAACCTTATAACTGTGGCTTAGAACTCTATATCAGTAACTTTCTTTCCCCCATTTCTTTCATTTGTGACATGTTTCTTTGTCTCTCCATTTTGGCTTTTTTCCCTGTGTTGATAGAGTGGCCTTCTGTGCTAAGTGTCCTATAGTACCCAGTAGGTCAGCCTTCACCATCACCTGAGGTGAACACTCTCGGTGCATCCATTTGTGAGCTGTGTGCACAGTCTTGTTGTAGTTAAGCCTTGATTGTTGTTGGTATCACTGGGAGGAATTGATCTCCAAGCCAATTGGCTGTGAGGATCAGTTGTATGTATGATGGGAGAACTTATGTGCTAGAGACAACCTTATGGGGCAAGACTTGCTTCAGTGGTGCTTTGGTGCTCACTGAGTCTGTCTCTTGAGTGTGTCTCTTATGGATGTGAAGATTTGTAATCTGACATTGTCTCACACTGACACTGGGTACACTGGCTCTTGGATCTCCAAGGAGATGCAAGGTCAGCCACTACCTAAGACCACTCAGCAGGGGCTACAGAGAAATCTGCAGATTCTTCTTCTTTGTTTGGGGTTTGGAAGTGCCCTGATGATGTGAAGCAAGGCTGGCTACTGCAACCAAGAGCCTTGGCCCTTCTTTTAGATGCTTTTGAGCTCTCTGACCCCTGCAGTTTTGTAGGTTCGACTGTGAAAAGCCAGCCCATTCATATGCAAAATCCACTGTGCATAGCTTGGCTGGGGTTGTAAATGGGTGAGGCAAGGTGTCAGAGAATCACCAGAGCAGAGCAAACAGCAATGGCTGCTAGTCAGCCATTTCCACATCTCCAAGTCTCCACATCTCTGTGTCTCCATGTCTCTGAGTCTCTGTGTCCCACACCCCCACACAGGAATTATGATCGCTAAGGGCACCTCTCAGAGAAAGCTGCCCTTGAATTCCAGCTTGGTGCCAGACTCCAGTTTCTCCCAGTATGAATCTAGCGTCTAGTCCAGAACTGGAGTTCAGAGCGATTGGGAGCTTGTATCTTCCTCCCAATTGAAAACAACAGTGCACCCAGTTGTCAGCCTGTTTTGCACATTCCTCAAATACCTCCACACTGCTGCACCTTCTACCAGTCTCAATGTGCTTTTCTCTTCCCTTCTAGTTGTAGAATTCCCCTCAGCCAGTTTTCCTGTGGTTCCAGATGATAGTTGCTTTCTCATTTAGTTGTAGTTTTGGTGTGGTTGTGAGAGGCAGCAAGTATAGGTGTTTACCTATGGTGCCATCTTGATTCTCCCCCCTATACTGTTTCTAAATAGTAACAAGTTCAACTGAAAATTTAGATAATCAGCCATTTTTTGGTAACCCAGTTTTTTCAAAATGTATTTAATGGCTTCCATTTTTTAATGAAATATTTTGGAAAATTTCAGTACATTGATAAAAGCAGATAAAAGCAGATAAAAGCAGAATGGGAGTTACCAACCCTCCCATTCACACCTCATGACTCTAAACCCTGGAAGCACCTTTTTCTGAGAACACAAGTTAAAAATGCTACTATGTGTTGCACAGCAATCTAATCAGAAACACACACACACACACACACACACACACACACACACAAAAAAAAAAAACCCTCTCCACAATTATGGTTTACTTGTGCAACTGAGTTTGTATTATCTGTGACCTTAGGCTTATCCTTTTGTGTGTGTGTGTGTATGTTTTTTAACTGTCACACAAATATGTAAATATTATTTTATACTCAAATTCAAAAAGAGGGACACTGGGGATGTGCCTCATTCTTGCGATCTGGAGACTTCCCTTGGAGCCTGCTCTGTGAACCTTCCTTCTTCATACAGGCCCTACCTTGTACTCTTGGATGATTCCATTCTGATGATCTGGAGGAGGAGGATCCCAGGAAACACTAATACTTGTGATGTTGTGGCTTCCGACTGTCAGCACAGTGACAGACTGTGGGGGAGCGCTTGGGGCTGTAAAAGAAGCAATTGGAATAAACACAAACTGTAAGTCTTGGTGTGCATTAACGGTGTTTGCAGAATACGAATATGAGGAGAAGAAGCAGAAGATTCTGGTTCCAGTATTCTAACTGTGCATATAATATTCAAGAGTGACAGTTTTTATAAAAATCTTTTAAATATAACAGATGGATTTAGAGTAAATACAATAGCTGTAGTACTATGTACTAAACAATAAATTTAACAGCTAACATTATGATGAATAATTTCTATATACCTAGCACAGAGCTAAGTGTCAGTTTTAATTATCACAATAACCAGGTAAAAACAAGGTAGAATTTGAACACAGGTATGTCTAATTATACAACTTTGATCTAACATTTTATTAGTCATTACCTCTAAGTGATGGCATTATTGACAATCTATTTATTTTAGTTTTATTAATAAAAACAGAGATACAGCTATAAATTTCACCAACAAATGAAAAATGCTTGTGTTTTCATATTGGACAAAATAATTTACTACTCTAAATTGACTCATAATTTAAGATTTCAGACTTATTTTATACTGGTGGGCAAGGAACTCTGAATATAGAAATGAAAACAGTTCATTTTGGGTCAAATGTCTCATGGACACATTTTAACTTCTTACACATTTGCTTCCTTTATGGTTTCTTCTATAATCCCACTGAAAAAAGGTGAGTGAGAAGAATTTTGCGATTTTATACTACAGTGCCTCCCATACAGTGTATTTGAGAGCTAACAAATTCTAATTCTGATGGAAAGCATGAATTCTCAGTGAACCTCTGAGTTTAAAGCAAAGGAGAAAAATCAATATCAAAATCCTTACAGTTAAAACAAAATTCAAAGAATTATTGATGCTTGCATAAGTCTACATGATTTAGCCCTTTGAAAATATATGCAATTGAATTGTAAAATACATTTTAAAGCCTGTCTATAAAGTCTCCCATGTTTGGTAAATTTTGGTCATATTTGCATTCAGATGCAGGGCATACACATACCACAATACCACCCTTTATTCTTCTTCTATGTGACAATATTGCTCCGAAATGTGGCATGATGATATACATCCCACCACTGTCTACCAGTTTTGTAGTTATTAAGTAGATAGTATTGAAAAATAACTTATGAGAGCTAGTTTTTCATTGGCCTTTCTGCTGGCTTGGAGAGAACACCACGCATGCTTCTTTACAGGTAAATTATTCCTGTGCCCAGCTTCTCTCTATGGATGTGAAAGAACCCAAATCACCACTCATCATTCTCTGGCACAGGCCAGCTGAGCTCCATTTGTTACTTTCACAAGGTCTCAGAAATCAGAGATGAACATACCACAATGGGTGACAAATGTCTAAACCAGGGGACAAGTCTAAGTGAGTGGAATTGATTTTGGAAGTAGACCAGTACTTCAATGTAGGATTCTGTAGTGAATTATCCCACTTGGTAGTACTACACCTATTCAACCTAAAATAAAATGTAATGGTGATGACTCTAATATTAATTTTTAGTATTTTTTTCTTTACATATCCTAAACATATATTAGTGATGCCTTAAAAACCTACACTTCTGCCCGTCAATGTATCACACTGTAAACCAATGTTAAGATAACATTTTCATGTGGTGCTTATTATAAGACATGCATACTTGAAAAGCTCAAATGAGCATTTACACATTAGCATGAACAACCAATACGCATTTTCTCAAATTTAGTATATTAATTTATATAAAGTATGTTTAGAAAAAAGGGGGGGGGGCTTTTTTTTTTTTTTTAAATGGAGCCTATACATAAAATTAGTACAAAAACAAAAAAGGAGAAAATTTATTTTACTTGGCATCTGACATTTTTGTACTTTTATGATAGAATTTATCATAGGCCTGTAGTTAAGTAAAGAAGACACTACCCTGTTTCCCTGAAAATAAGACAGTCTTATGTTAATTTTTGCTCCCAAAGATGCACTAGATCTTATTTTCAGGGGATGTCTTATCTTTCCATGCACTGGGTCTTATTTTAGGAGGATGTCTTATTTTCGGGGAAACATTGTAGTAAATTGACTGGTTGAGCTTACATTTATTTCATGTCTCTCACTTGACTTTAAAGTACAGGAAGAAAAGTTCAGGGAGGACAGAAAAAAAATTCCAAGGAGAAAACTATTGCAAACATGCAGACTTCTGAATTAGAAATATGAGTCAGATCAGCAGAGGCCATGGGGAAGAAAACTTCAAGAAGAAAATGTCATTCTTTACTGCACCAACAAAAGAGGCATGACAATGAACAGCCTGTGCTCTTGAGTTTCTAGTAGCCTGTTTTGGTGAAGCCAACTGAGCCTAATCCATGGGGGGGGTGGGGCTTGCAATCAAGTTCCAATGTACTGACAAAGAAGATTGGGACAAATGTTTATAAATTATTTGAATGCCTTCTTCTTCTTCTTCTTCTTCTTCTTCTTCTTCTTCTTCTTCTTCTTCTTCTTCTTCTTCCTCCTCCTCCTCCTCCTCCTCCTCCTCCTCCTCCTCTTCCTCCTCCTCCTCCTCCTCCTTCTTTTTTCTCCTTCTCCTTCTCCTCCTTCTTCTTCTTTTTCTTTTGAGTTGTCAAATTTTATGGGATTCTCAGAACAAAAAGAGAAAAATAGCACTTCCTGGATTCTCTTTTAGAATCTCTCTTGCTATTCTTCTAAGAAAGATGATAAACTAGAACTTCAACAGAAATTGGTTTCATTATGGTCTAAGTTAGGTTCATGTTAAGAATCTGAATACTGACCTTCTTCGGTAGTACGAACTGTTTTGGATTCACTATCCATTCCTTGGAACTCATTAAAGTAAGGTCGTACTTTAATTTCATAAGTCACCCCCTTTTTGAGATTGACTAGGACAGCATTTCGCTCATTTGCGACTTTAGCATCTAAATTCTGCCATGTTGGTGTGGCCTGCAGGCCTGAGGTCTGGCGATACATCACACGGTAACCTTGAATAAACTGAGGCTGCCGGTCCACCTGAAAAACAAAGCAAAAAGCTTTTGAAACCAAAGGGGGGTATTTTAGACATCACAGTGGCTTGATCCTCATTTCTCTTGTCCCTGATTCTGTCCTCATCAAATATCATCAGAGGATGCCACAGATTTCTAACTCATATCCCAGAATCTTATACCCTCTTCTAAATCTGACTTCACATTGTTCCTAAGTTATTATTTAAAAAATGAAGAGTGGAACAACTCTCTATCCTGTTTAAAATACTTCATGGTATCCAAAATACCTACTTAATTAAAATTCTTTGGATTAGCACAAAGTCCTATCAAGACCTAGACCTGCCAATTTTTCTAGCTCCATTTCTTATCTGTTTGTTCTTTTACTATATTCAGGAATTCCTGCTTTTGTGGTTGCAAATACAGTGTGGTGTTTGTTAGTGAGTTCCATTCTCATCTCTTGTCCATTCACTAACACCTTCACTCAATCAAAAACAGTTTTTGAGTTCCTGCTAATAAGCACCAGGAAGTTTGCTTAAATGTAGGAACTTGTATGCATGCCTATAAGCATAACCAATGGACAGAGACACCGAGGGTAAGGGCATGAGTGGGGGGTGGGGGGAATGGGGGGATAAAAACACATATGTAATACCTTAATTAATAAAGAAAAAAAACATATTAAAATGTAGGGATAAAATTAAAAGAAAATAAGTCAGTCCTTGCCTTCATAGTGCTTAGAGCCCAAGTGGAAGATGGGAATTGTCTAATGATCACCCAAACAATGTCGTCATAGTAATAACAAATAGACATAAACAAATGCTAAGATTGAGATGTACAAGGGGCTAAGAAAGCCTGGAGTGGAGAAGAATTTGGCTGGATCAGGAAGAGAAGATAAAGTTTCCCTGAAGGAGGGCTGAGACCTATAAGGACAGTGGAATCTATCCAGTGGAAGAGCAGGACCACGTGTGTCCAATTCCTGTTGATGGGGAAGCATGTGAAAATCCAAAAGTTGTGGAGCTAGATCACGTTTTAAATGGATTAAACAGTTTATAACGCTCAACAGATATTAAAGACTTTTATTAATTTACCAATGGTCCCACTACTGACACAATTTAACAACTTTCTTGATCCTTTCATTCATTTAAGGTAGAGGATAAACAGCTGCTCTTGAAAATCAGATTTTAAATCTCAAAACTGATATCAAATAGAAATTTTAAATATTAGTTCACTTATAATAATTACATAAAACCAAATACATAAAAATGTAAGCTAAAAATGTTCTCTTTATACATTTATGAAACAATATTTACTGGAGTACTACCTTTTTTTTTTCAGGGAGAAAAGGACTTTTAGCTTTTTAAAATGTCTTACCATATTTCTAGAAATGCTTGACAAATATAAATACCATAGCATCTTCTCCAAGTAACATTCCATTTATTATAGTTTGCTAGTCCTATTCTAGAAGGCCTTTCACTTGACATATTTCACAGTCAAAGGAAGTGTAAAATTTAATGGTGAAGAGATGGAAGACCTCATTTTATGAATTTTGAGGAGAAAAGAAATAGAATATGTAATGATAAAAATGGTTATTTCAGCTTTTTAAAATTTCTTTATTCAACTGTGAACACATTATAAACAAATGTTATTCTTTTGTGTATTAAAATCTAACCTCTTGAGTTGTAGCTAGCATTCAAAACATTTTTACAGAATCACAGTCAAAATACCACAGAACAAAGGAACAGTTTTTTCCCCCTGTATTGAAAATGTCCAAGTTAGAAAAACCCATGAAGTTGATGAAAGTAGACAAGTGTGTTTCTATGTATAGTTAATTCTAGTTTCACAGATGAGTCTCATCGAGTAAGAATTCCTTTATCCACCTGACAGCTTTCTAACCCTCAGCAATTTTCTGATATTAGTGCTACTCTTGTGTGAGGTTATGTCATGAAAAAGTCAGCCTAGTTCTGATGCCAAAGCCATGGTCTTTGAATCCTCATCCATGCCACGAGTTTGTGTTTACAGCAATGGACATATATTTTTGAAAAGCAGAAGTTGTTCTGACATTAAAAAACAAGGCAACTAAAAAGCCAAAAGTTAAATTTATGAGAGCCACAAGGAGTTGCCCTTCATCAAAACTGTCAGTATTCCAAAATATCAGCACAGCATATGTTAAAACAACATTAAACTTGCATTTTATAAAATTCTCTACATTCGCTTTAAGTGAATTTATATACTGAAAGAAAGACATAACTCACAATAATAGCTTGTTAATACTGAAAGAAGCAAGCTGTGTTTTTAAAAAGCACATTAAGCAGCTGTTTCCAGATGAAGGGAGCCTGTAAATCAGGGTAAGTTGGTTTTATCCATGTTTGGTTTTCATTAATTAAGTGTTTTAGGGCGTTTATGGAGTTAATGTTTACTATACAACATTGCCTTGCTCACTTCAGTGTATATGCCTTCAACCAGCATGTTCTAATGACCCACTTAATAACTAAGTAGTCCGACTGGATTTTGTGCAGTTGCAATACATTCTTTTCTGGGGAAGAAAAAAGTTGTTGTTACAGGTGGAAGCAAAAATGAAAATGCTGAACACTGACTTTAAAAAACTAGGTAGGATTTTTATTGGATATGCATTCTATGCTATTGAGTTCTGAAGCACATTTTGACAGGTGGTCATTTTCAAGTTAAATCATATGCTTGTTACTAATTTTATTACCATTCTGATTATGTGTCTGGACATAATTCCATGGGTTTACAAAATTTTTAAATTTGGTATTTTCTGAAATATGAGTAAAAAAAAGAGTTGTCTTAAGGGAAAAGTGACATGATGAAGAGAGGGTTAGTCTCAGTTGAGTTACAGCTTAGCCTCAAACTTTCTGAGTCTCAGGTTCCTTAATTTGTCCAAATAACACTCATGTTACAAGGGCACAGACTCAGTTAAAGGACTACTATAAGTTAAAACATTTTGCAAGTTTTAAAGATGCACAATGATAAAGCATCACTGTTAAGTAAATGATATACTAAAAAACAGGTGTACACATGTGTCCCTCATATCATCATTTGCATTAAAATGTTTAAGATATGTAATATTTATCTTTTCAATGTGAAAAAAAATCCACCTAAACTCAAAAGTCAAAACAAATTTTCTTAGGTGGGCTTGGTCTGCTAAGTGACTGGTCTGGACTTAGCTTAATTCTGAGCCTGGTTGGCCAGGACACTCTTTTACCTCCCGTAGCTGTAACGCTTAAGAGCAATGAGTCTGTGATTCTTTTTGTCCTTGAACCAAAACACACACACACACACACACACCAACCAGAATAAATATTTTTAAATGTAATAATTACTGTATTGCCATTTTTCTTTGTGAAACAGCCATTTTCTTATCATTTATGCTAACCCTCATAAAAAAATAGTCATTTTTAGAATGTAGCATTACTAACTATTGCTGTTCCAAAATTCACCTTGTGTAGCATGAGTGTTTTGTGGTTGTTGTTTTTTTGTTTTGTTTTTTGTTGTTGTTGTTGTTGTTGTTGTTTTTAGTACAAGTGTCATGTATATTTGGTAAATGAATCCAGCCAACTATTATAGATACCTTCTCACTTGGCCCCAAATCTAAACACATGGGTTGGAGAATATAGTGGACCCCTTAAGCCCAATACATCAGTAACTCAAATAATGTGATAATTTTAAAAGGACATGCACATTTAGGAAGTTGAAAATAGGACATTGAAATTAAATAATTGGTCATAATTCCTTTGATAGCCAACTTCATTCCCAGTTGGGTTTTCATTTACCTCTCAACTACATCCATATCTCAAGGGGAACAACACTATGTGATATATTAAACATTATTTTTAATGTATAAAATAATTGAGTTTGTCATGTAGCAGACAGTTACTGAAAATGTATTTCCTAAATGATGCTTTGCTCTGAAAAAACAGAAATTAAAAATATAGATTCCAGACTCTCAGAAGTCAAGCTCATGAGGGAGAGAGATATGAAAACCAGGAATGACAATTTATTGGGATGTAAAGATGACTATGACAAGGTCCCTTTCTTGAAAGAACTCCCAGACTACTGACCTGTAGTTTTTATGTGATTTCATGTATTCTTTTTAACTCAATGATTTTTAGAGTGATTGATTTTATGAACATAATGACTTTGATTCTTATCCAAATAATTCCCACATTTAGAAGGAGCTTTAAAAAGCCCCTTCAGTAGAGCAGATAAGACTTTTTCAATTGATAATGAGTAAAAATCTGCTATTAAAAATACAACTATTTCCTTAGCCTTGTTAGTTTTGTATCTAGTCAAAGCTACAGAAAATGGATGAGGCATGACAGATATCACCCTACTGTGCCATTGGAAAAAAGATGAGGTCATTAGGTTCCCTTCATAGGAACAGAAGAATAGGACTCATTATATGCAGAAAATAGAATATCTATGTGACACTATATAAAAATGAAAGTAGAAACAATGTAATCCTAGTCATAATTACTCTTAAAGTGTTACTGTATAAACTTAGTTTTATTTTTGCTAAAGTATCACTCAGTTTTGTACTCAGAGGCCAAAAACATGGCTAATCAGATGGTGTGGTTTAAGAAGCAACAAAATGCCCTACTCAGGACCACATGCTGAAATCCCTCCATTAAATATCCCACTGCGTATTTGTCTACAGTTTGTCTTTACAGTGAAATCACTGCTAGCAGATTTGAAGTAAGGAAACCCTAAGGTTATTCTTACCTATAAATATACATGGGATTTAGGAACATTATTTAATCTGTCTGTATTGGTTTCCTTTATTTCTTTTAAAAATATATTTATTGATTTTTTTACAGAGGAAGGGAGAGGGATAGAGAGTTAGAAGCATCCATGAGAGAGAAACATCAATCAGCTGCCCCCCGCTGGGTATGTGCCCACAAACAAGGTACATGCCCTTGACCAGAATCAAACTTGGGACCCTTGAGTCCGCAGGCTGACGATCTATCCACTTAGTCAAACCAGTCAGGGCTCCTTTCATAAAATTATGATATTAGAGTAAAGAGCCTTAACATCTAAGTTTCACCCATTCTAATAAGTAAGACCTCCATATTTTCTCAAAGAGAAGTAGAGGAGAGGTAATATATTTTCTATTTTTTGTGGATGGAATTAATCACTTCCTCTGATTGAAACCTGTCTATAGAGAGCATATATTCATATATACTTGTTATGGAACATATTTCTGTATATTGTCATTAAGAATTTACATGACAGAAGGCAGCCAATCGATGATTCTCTCTCTTCATTGATGTTTCTATGTCTCTTTCTCTCCCTTCCTCTCATAAATCAATAAAATATATTTTAAAAAAAGAAGAATTTGCATGATTTGTGTCTCTTTATATAGCCCCTGTACACACATACATTGGGTACAGAATTGGTTCTCAAAAAAGTCTGTTGGACTGGATTTGTTCAATGGGTTTATTATTGAGAGAACACTGGAAGAATTCTATTCATTGTGTTCTATATTTCAAATATAATTAATTAAGATTGATGAAAATAACCATGTTCCCCCTCAATTTTTTTTGTTGATGAAATTAATGGGAATGGGTGAGACCATTATTTCCCCAAAGAAACTTGGAGGAAAAGTAATTCAGTTTTTGGTCTTTTTTAAAAATATTTTTACTTACAGTCATTCTTCTACAATAAAAAAAAAAACAGAGACATAATTATAAATACTTTATAATAAAGATTATAATTAAAGTGAAAACTCTTCTAGGTATGTCTAACTAAAATATCCATTATTTATATAACATACAAAATCTATCACAAACACAGAAGACTGAAAGAATATATGCCCTTCTGTCATCCTGATAGATGTCTTCATGGGTTTTTAGAAATTATAATAGATCTTTGAAATAAAGGAGAATTTGGCACTAACTGTACTAGGCTCAAGGAAAACTATCCCTCTCTTCACAAAACACAGACACATACATAGACTAGAGCACATGCACAAGTGTTAGCATTTTCTAATGTGACTAATATGGCTATTTTTATAGTATTTGTTGTTTCTACTGAAATGGCTACTAAGTGGGTCAAAAAATTTTGTATTTTGAAATGACAGTGGGCAGGTTCACATTTATTAATACACAAAAGGCCTCTAGCATGTCACTTGTGCACTGAGGGGCGGGGTCCATCAGCTCAGTTTGTACCCTCTTGCAGTCTGGGACCCTTTGGGGGATGTCCACCTACTGTTGTAGAGGCAGGAGAGGTTCCCACCACCGCTGCTGCACTCGCCAGACACGGTTGAGTCTACCAGATGTGAACCTGGCTTCTGGCAGAACAGTGCTCCTTGTGAGAGGACACTGACCACCAGGGGGCAGCTCCAATGTTCCACTGTTTGGTCAATTTGCATATTAGCCTTTTATTATATAGGATGCAATGGAACACTGTAGCATATATTAAAATATTAATTCATTTTTTTAAAACTAATTAATTATTAAACATAAATGTCAACTTATTAAAATTATATTTGTACATGTTTGGTGCTGCTGAATGAGATTCAACTAAAAGAATATAAAGATGTTTGATTTAAATTCACAAGAAGTTTTCATCAAAATTAAAATATTTTGTACTTCAATTACCCCATTAAGACAGTAAGAAACGAACTATAGATTAGGAGAAAATGCTACCAATTATATATCTGATAAATAACTTGTATTCAACATATAAAGAATTATTACATGACTGTAATAAGAAGACAAACAATCCAATTTAAAAATGGGCAAATCATTTAAACATAGATTTCCTTAGTAAGATATATAATTGCTCAGTAAACATGAAAAGGTTCAAAACATCAGTAGTCATGAAACAAATGCAAATGAAAACCACAATAATATATCATTTATCATTCATCAGAATAGCTTTAATAAAAAAGACAGGAGATAAGAAGTGTAGGTGAGACTATGAAAGAAATTAGCAAGGATGAGAAAAAAAACACTGGAATCTTAAAATATTGCTAGTGGGAACATAGGATGTTATAACCACTTTGTAAAACATGTTGGCAGTTTATCCAATGTTAAACATTATCGTTATTACTCAATAATTTCTAGGTAAATATCAAGATAAATAAAAATATATGTTTACTTGGGCACAAATGCTCACGACACCGTTATTCATGATAGCCTATAGTAGAAACAACTCAAGGTGTATCAGCTGATGAATGAACAAAAAGATGTATATGCTATATATGTATGCTGTTAGGGAATGCTATTAAGAAATAAAAGGAACAAAATACTGATACAGCATGAATAGACCTCAAAAACATTATGCTGAGTGAAAGAAGCCAGGCTCAAAAGACCACATATTGCATTTCATTCCTATGAAAGCAATAGGCAAATCTATAGAGACAGAGAGATTAGTGGTTTCAGAAAGCTCAAGTGAAGAGAAGGGACAGCTAATGGGCACAGGATTTAATTTTGGGATGATGAAATGTTCTAAAATCAGATTTTGGTGATGATTGTATGACTCTGTAAGTATATTAAAAAGCATTAAGTTGTACATTTTAACTTTAGTATATGAATTCTATCTCAATAGAATTATTCTTTCATCTATTGAATACTTTTCTTTTTTGTGATTAAACCGTCAGAGTTTTATTACCATTTTAAGTGGCAATAAATGATTTTAAATGGTCAGAGTTTTATTACTATTTTTTGGGTTGTTGACTTATTTTTTCTTCTTTGGTTTGTTTTCTTAAAGGAAAAAAGAGACTATTATTAACATGGCCTTTCAGAACTTACTGTCCATGTGACTTGAACAGTCGTGGGAGTCAAAACAACTGGAGTATGAAGACGAACAATGACATCTCCCAGTTCCTTCTGTACTTGTCTGTGGTCCACTCCTTGTGCTGGTGGGCTGATATCTACAGGTAGACAACCATTCCCAAATTTTAACAATTCATAGTAAAATTCCAATGTATGTTATATAAGCTAATAATATTCCATTAGAAATAATTACAGGGGAAATTTAAAAAAATATATTTGTGACAAAAACAATAAAGAGTATTTATATACTACCACCATGCTAAAACATAATTTAAAAGATTATATTTATCTTCACTAAAATAATATTAATAAAAGAGTATATGCAATTTTTCACCCCATTCAAATACATTGTTGTAGAAAGTCTCATTATTTTCTTATTAAAGAATAAAGAATGTGCTGTTTTCTATGGAGACATCAGTTTTATATAGATGTTAAAAGACTTTCTTGAGTAGCTAATGGGGGAATATCTGAAAAGTGCTGTCTAGGAATTTACTTAATACTTGTTCCAATTAGTAAATTGTGTGTTCTTACCCCTTGTCCTACTTCAGACTAGCAACATGGAAGAAAAGTAATCAGAGGGACAGGAAACTTGAAGTATATTATTAACGGTAGACAAAGTCAGGGGAAAAAGGGAAGGAACCCCCAATATTCACAATAATACTTTTGACCAAAACAATTAAAATACTGATAAAGTGTCCTAAAGTAATAAAATTTAAGCAGTGCCTCAATATCCAACAAAATTGTTTTATATAGGGCCCAGGGAAAGAAAGAAGAAAACACAGATTTTCAATATTTAAAATGATATATCTTTAACCAGACATTGTTCTGGCCCCTTACTTACCATTCACTTAAATACTCTTCTCTTGTTCCATATATATAACTAAAGGCCTGGTGCATGAAATTTGTGCACTTGGGGGGGTGGTCCCTCAGCCTGGCCTACGTCAGGGAGCTCTCAGGAGATGTTCAACTGACAGCTTAGGCCATCAGTAGGACATGGTTAGCACTGCTGCGGAGATGGAAGAGGCTCCTGTCAACACCACTGCACTTGTCAGCCATGAGCATGGCTTCTGGCTGAGCAGTGCTTCCCCCATGGGAATTCACTGATTGTCAGCCCCCTGGTGGTCAGTGCGCATCATAGCAAGTCAGGTTGAAACTGGCTCTCCGACATCCCCCGAAGGGTCCCAGATTGCAAGAGGGCGTAGGCCAGGCTGAGGAACCCCACCGGAGTACAATTGGGTCTGGGGAGGGACATAGGAGGTTGGCTAGCTGGGGAGGGATCACAGGAGGGCTTCAGGGCATGTCTAGTCCATCTCGCTCAGTCCTGATCAGCTGGACGACAACAGTAAGTTAATCTACCAGTCAGAGCATCTGCACCCTGGTGGTCAGTGCACATCATAGTGACTGGTCAACTGCCTGCCACAGGTGGTCAGTGCATGTCATAGCAAGTGGTTAAGTGGCCTTAGCATATAATTAGCATACCGTATTTTCCGGCGTATAAGACGACCCCTAATTTTACAGTTAAAACATAGGTTTAGGCCTATATTCACTGTATAAGACTACCCCCCACTTCAAAAAAAAGACTTACTTTGCCGTCAAGATCTGCAGGTAATTTTTGTGCAATTTTGGTATTTTGCCCCCGATTTTCGGTTGACTTTTTTTCGTTTCAAAAGTCGTCTTATACGCCAGAAAATATGGTAGTATGCTTTGGTTGAATGGCCAACTGAATGACAGGACACTTAGCATATTAGGCTTTTATTATATAAGATGGTTTATATTACATGTTCATTGAAATATATAAATGATAGATGTCCAAGTCCATCAAATTGATATGAAATACTGAATTTCACAATACTAAAACCAGCTTCTTTAACTATAATGTTAAATTGATTTTTTTTCCCTCCAGATACCTTATTTAAGAAAGTCCAATTTTAATTGATTTATTTTCTTAATCTTCTTTTTCTTTATTTTCTCAGACCACAATACCACACTCTTGAAAAAATATTTTAAGTACATATCTCAGCCATACTTAAATGGGGTTCACCAACTTAAATTGGGGCATCAATAATTGGGACCTACACTTTGGTGACTATTTTCCAGTTCCATTTTTCCCCATTCTTAACATAAACATCTCAAGTTTTACTTAAAACAAAAAAAAAATATTAATAATATTAGGTGAATAACATCAACCTTTATGGATATATCTATGGTTTATTATGGTGATGTTGATGGTGCAAGTATATACTGCCTTACTAAAATAATTCTAAATTCTATGGTATTTATTTTATTTTTTTAATTCTATGGTATTTAATATCTTTAAAAAATAAGAGCACATACAGCAAAGCATTCTTTGAAAAGAAGAGCTTTTCAAATAGCAAAGCTGCTGAAAGTGGTATAAAAAACATCCTGATGTTCAGGCACAAAACATGTGTTTTCCTATTAAACACCTATTAGGAGAATATAAGCATTTTTCTTCATATAGTCTCTCAGCTGGAACAAGTTCAGATCACAAACAACTTTTCATTAATATTTTGTTTGTTTTACTTTTTTACCAAGAAATTATTTTATGAGTCAAGAATTAGTGACTGGCACAGATACTGAATGATCCAGGTTTGTGGGGTATAATCACATGACAAGCCTTCTACATTCTGGTATCTCTCCATCTTCCTTCACAGCTGCCCACAGAAACTGCCTTCTTTCTATCTACACAGGTAAAATGATCTAGGTATTATTATTTAGTGATTTAAAACTATACACCTTTTCCTCTTTAAGTTCAATAATTTAATTTAATTTACTCATTAAATTTGGACACTCTAAGAGCAATTGGATTCAGGCAAGGTAAAATATAACCAGTTTCAGGTCTTCAAATTCCTTATTGTTGTGCTTTTTCTCTCTCTTGAGACAGGTTCTTTACCTACAGGTCCTTTATCATTATGGAAAATTAATCACATTACTGCTTACAGAACAATAGCAAGTGGCATTCTCTCCTCCCTTGACTGTCATCATGTCAGCAATATTACAAAAATCACGTGGTAACTTTATTTCACTTGATTTCTTTAAGGTGTCCTCTGTTATAATAGCATGCTAGTAACTATTGCTGAACTACATTATAATTATAATAATATTTTATGGCTGTATGGTGCTTTTCATAGTATAAAAATACTACTTTGAATTGTATCTTGTTCAAAGCCTTTAACAAATAAGAAATGATTAACCCTTTCTCAAGAACCTGTAGGGAATAGGTTTTAACAAATAATAAAGCAACCATTTCTATTTTATTAATTCTCTTTGTCTACTAGTAGGAACAGAAATTAGAATGCCACATTTTATATTAATCCTTAGACTCCAATGACTTCTCATTTTGAAGAGACAGGCTACTAAAAATGAAATGAGATGCCTTCCATTTAATCTTGTTATAATGTTCTGGTTAGGTGTTTTGTGTTTTTAATTAGTCTAAAGAATTACATACCTCTGGAAGAAAACTTGATTTACTTCTTTCTGAAACAAATTGCTCCTTTAAATCTCTGGTTTAATAAAATTCTTGTAGTGATTCTTGTAAAAATTGTCAAAAACATCAGTAACATCTGCCAGGCACCTGAACACAGACTACTGGGCCCCACTCCCAGGGCATCTGAGATGGGGCCTGAGCACCTGCATTTGTAACATGGTCTCAGGTGATGAGATGTTGCTTCCAAGGAAATCACACCTTGAGAGCCACTGTACTATAAAAACAAAATTTCTAAACAGTAGGGAGTAATATTGTCTTTATCTGGGCATCTTATCCATTCCAGGTCACTGCATAATTAATTTCAAAAAGGAGAAACGTTTTCCTCCCTTTGAAATATAGGGATGTCTTAAATTTATTCACTCTTACTATGTGAATATATTCAATTATTTTGTTTATTTTGTCCTAAATAGACCCTGACAACTCCAGAAAAAGGATACACTTACCAACGTGCACAGCATGTTCCCTCCAAACTGGGTCAGTGGGTCAGTTCTAATGAATCATTATAGCAAGTAATACATTTATCTTTCTGGTGCAATCCCTTTGTTCTGAAACATGTGCTAATGCCTCCTTCTAGAGCCAGTCATATTTACAGCTATGAAATTACCTTGTGTGCGCACAGGATCTGACATAGTGCTTGGGTCACTGAGGCCTTGGGGGTTGATTGCTCTGACCATGAATAAGTAGATTGTATTAGGCCGCAGTCCTCTCACTGTATAGAGTGTAGTCTTTACATGGTTTGCCACTGTCTGCCAGCTATTGCTCACTGATTGGCTGAAACAAGAACAGAAATTTCACTTAAGGTACTGGAAATGGGATTAGGTATCAATGATAAAAGTTAATGATTGAAAATTAAACACACCCCATACACACACACAAGAAAAACCACTTGGATTTTCAGCCTAATAAATGAAACATTGGATGATTTCAGTTTGTTCAACAACAAAGCTAAGCCCACCTAACAAAAGTGCCATGCACAACAAAATTAAACTCAGCCCAGGAGATGTGGCAGCCCTTTGCTAATGCACAGCAGCCCACTAAACAAATACCTATAAAAGAAACAGAGGCTAAGATGACAACATCAAGTTTGTATAATAAATATGGTCCTCACAAATGTGTATATATAAGTGTATGTGTGTGTGTGTGTGTGTGTGTGTGTGTGTGTGTACACCTTGAAAATAATTAACCTGTAGAAAAAATAAATGAACTACAGAATAAATTATGCCAATACACCTTTCTGTTACAAGGTGTGTTTCATTTTGATCATTTCCACATGCAATATTATAATAAAGGCTTCTAAAACTACATATCTGTAAAAGAAGAAAGGAAGCATGGTTTGAGTATTTTCCCCTGGTCACATTTTTAATAAAACCATACATTACATAGTATTGTGATTTCCCATCTTGGAATGAGGACCTATCTCTGAACCCCTTACAGCCAGTTACAGACAGCATGCTTGTTTAGAGCTCTTTGTCTGAGATCAAATATTCCCTTTGTTTAAAATGAAGAGAAAATGCAATTTTCAGCACCTTCCATTAATTTTTCAAAAGTAAGTCCTTATACATCAAAACATGGGAATTAAAGCAAAACATATTTTCGAAATTTGAAAACTAAGTGCTCATCATTCCATTAAATTAAATAAAAGCATTTTTAAGCATCTGTCCTAATGCTTGGAAAGACAGTGGTCATCACTATCCTTATAGTAGCAAATAAAAACACATTGAGATTGAATACAAAACTATATTTTCCTATTTTATAAGTATCAAATTCCTGTAAGACAATTTTATTATGACATTTACTAGCTTATATTAGTTTATATCCTTAAACTGATGACAATTAATTCAAGTAACAATTAAACATATCTTTTATTTTCAGCAAACAGAGGTACCTACAATAAATTTTAGTTGTAGTTTTTAATTTTCTCTTAAGCATAACCAATAGACATATTCAAATATTTATCATAAAACAATGGAATTATTTTAAGTTCTTCTCTAAGTATTAGAAAGCAAAATTCCAGCATTCTGTGCCTCAATAAACATTGCATAACTTAAAAGTTCCTTGTGCCTAATTAAATTATTTTCTTCTTACTTCTAATGCTGAAATTCTCATCTTAAATCCTTATAATGGACAGGGTAAACAAAGGAGCTAAGTAATTATGTCATAATTAGATCCCTATAAACTTAGACAGGGATAATACATATTTAATCTTATAATTAAGGTTAAAATGAAAAAAAAAAGACACTTAAGTCTATTCTTGAATAAAGTCAGATTTAAAGTAAATTCTTAAAATGTACTGATTAATCACATCCTTAAAATAAAAATGCAGGAGATTTTAGGAATAGGAGCTAAAGCAAAACCCAATGGAGAAAACAGGAACTATTCCGTACCTGAACGCCTCAATGATATATGAACTTGCCGGGAGGGTTCCAGGGGTACCTGGTTGCCAGGACAAGGTGACACTGTTCTTAGTAACATCAGTGACCTGTGGTTTGGATGGTGGTCCTGGCAGGTCATTTAAATCATAATTTTTACTGATTGTTGCTCCAGATTCTATAGAGGACAAACAGAAAAAGCTTAATTCCTGAATGCATATGCTGATGACTATGGTTAAAAAATAAAAATCACCTATTAAAAAAGTTGACCTACTCAGTGAACAAAAGTATATAAGTGAACATTTGCTTTTCCTACATGTTACTAAATGTTTGCTTTCACACATGATCACTAGGATTGCTTTCTCTTTAGATTGAGAAAATAAAATAACGAGGTTGTCAAGGAAAAATGTATCAAATTGCCTATATGTGATGCTATGTGCAAGAGGTGCAGGAATTAAAAAGTGGCATGAAAATTTTTACATTTAATGAATTCAAAATATTGATTTCTTCTTAACTTGTTAATTGATAATAAGATAATCACTAAAATGGACTCAAGATTTCTTGAGTAGATGATCTCTGGGAAGATAATTCACAAAGAATTCACCTGTGACATCCAGCACAGCACTCCAGGAAGTCTCCCCGCTTGAACTTGTAGCCACACAAGTATAAGTTCCAGTATCAGAAATCTAGTGAGCAAGGCAGGGAGAGAATTAAAGTGCTAACAATCATTTTTTGAAGATATTGAAAAATTAAAAATACTAAATATTTCTCTTTAAAGAGATCAGTAGTCAGCTCTATTTAAATTGTAGCAGTGTAACAGTGAATGGAATGGAATTATATGATTAAGAAACAAACAAATTATGCCAATGGAAAATTGCGATTTAGAGCTGAAAGAGACCACAGAAATAATCTAATGCATAACTCATTTTGTAAGTGTACATAAAAGTAGCCATTTTATTAATCACTTAAAATATTTATGTTATTTGTTGAAGAATAACAGAAGACTTTTAGGAATAATTAATATTATAATTGAAAGTTCTATTTTACAAATATAACATGCAGAATACTCTATGATCATGCATTGACAAAAGCCCCAAGATCAAATAAGATGTGTGGTTGAGCCCTGTGGGCTTACAATGCAAACATTAACTGGTATCAATTTACTGCTGAAGGAAGAGTGAGACTGGAAAGAGAAAATGATGACCACATAGAATAAGGCAAGTTAGATATAGAATTGAAATTCTGTGGTGAACATGAGTCTAATTGTTATGAAATATGGGAGTTCATAGAATATACTACCTGCTGGGTTCAAAATATAAGTGTATGGATGACTGAACTTTTCACAATTGATTCTCAAGTAAATCTTTAGTTCTTGGATGTTACTTTCATTCCATTTTAACTTATTTTACATGTCATTATGTATTTTAACCTAAGGTTCAAATTGCTCTGGAATGTCATTTTTTGCCATATTACCTTCATACAACTATCTTCCATGATGATGGGGGAGATCCTTTGTGGGAAAAGCTCTTCTTTCAGATGTGGCTGAGCACATTACAGTCATTAGAAATCTTTTCATTTAAGAAGCATCACTCACAAACTAAATATAATGAGCCGAGTTGGATTTTAATGGGATGTTCATTTGAATATGGTCTCCGAAAGAGTAAAGAATTTGCATTTTATTATAGCTGTTGAACTAAAATGTAGCACTTGTTATTACGTGCAAATGCTAAAAGAAGGGCATGTAGGTAAAGCTTCTTTGTCATTGTGGGGAGATACAAGTCCATCATTAGCTGTGGTGGGCATGCTTTAATGAGTGTTCAAATATCCTCCTCAAAAGATACAGATTCAGCTACCAATTAGCTGAACTATAGGAACACAATGTTCATCATTCTATTTCCCCCCTTGCATTAAGTACCAAAAAATACATTGTGAGACACAAAGGAATATAACCTACAGAAAGTCTTTTGATATAAGTGAAGTACTGTAAAACCCATTTTTACATCCCTTTAAAGACAGTCATATTACAGAAAAAGAATCATTTTTTTTAAGTTTAGCAAAAGTGTTATCAAAAGCCTAAATCTCATCGCTAAAAGTCACTTCTATGTCATCATCATCATCACATTCATTTTTATTCCTTCAACTTTAAATAATGTCTTTTCTGATCAGAAGTATTTCAAGGCTTCCCCACCTTTTTCCTTTTATACTTAAGCAAGGGCTTTACAAAGAGGTTCATGTGCTGTCAGCCTCCATTACCTACTGTTCTCCTTGTGTAGTTGGCTGCAGACAAGTCCCCAGGAGCCTGCATTTCAGACAGACCACTCAGGAGCCTGTCAGAAGGCTCAAAATTTGACATCATCAAGCACCCACCTTTAATTGCTTTTTTCAAACATTACTCGAGATCCTGACTATTCAAGCACAACCTCTAATTCAGCAGTACAGTGAAACTGCATTAACCTCCATGGCCCAAGTCTGCCTTTAGCCCAGAGAGAGGTTAAAATATTTACTTAAGGGGAGTTGGCATTAATTTCTAAATAACTCCCATTTTTTTCATAGAAGAATAACAATTAATTTACAATCAATAAAAAGACAAGCTAAAATCTATATTAATTTATTTTCCTTTTAACTGAATTAAAAAGCATTTTTTCCTACTTTGAGCAATAATTATATGCTTGTGTCTCAAAATAAAATTGCATTTAATATATTGAATATTTGTGTTTCTGTGTGTGCACACACAATATAAAAATAGAAAAGTTCTTTCTTTTTGTATACATATTTGTATGCTATACTGATAAATACAAACTAAGTGTGTGATTGCAAATAATTTGGCATTGTAAGTGAACATTAGGAGTATTTTAAAAGGAAAATTCAACATTGTTTTTTGCATTTTTTTTGCTGTGTTTTTTCTTCATCTTGGTTCCTAATTTTTCTCCAGATTCTACTAACTCTTCTTCCATTTCACCATTTTCAGTCAATTTTTTATTTGTGCACTATTACATCTACCATCTTAGTGTGGGCTCTCATTCCCAATCTTGTGATTACTGTAATATATATTCAAGTGTTGGTATAGTGCTTGCTGCATAAAGGGATGCTCTCTATATTTGGTTGAATGAATTGAATATATTTTTGAAGGGCAGGTCACCTCCATGATATATCCTCTTGGTAGTTACACCTTGTATAAATCCTCAGCTTGCTTGTGGAAGGCCGGTTGATTTACTTCTTGTCAACAGAATTGAGCAGGGTGTCAGAATGTCATATTTCTGATTATACTGCTAGAACTGCAATGCCTCTCTTGCTAGGAGACTCTCTCTCTTGTTGACTTTGAGGAAGCAAGCAATCACTTTGGGAATATCCATATGGCAAGGTACTAAAGGCAGCCAACAGTAAGCAAGAGGCTAAGGCCATCAGTCACAAGTAATTGAGTGCTGCTACTATGGTATTATGTTGCTTGGAATCAAATCTACCTCAAGTCAATCTTCTGATGAGATGACCCAACTGATTTTAGACTTTTGGACCCTAAAGTAGAAGACCCAACTAAGGCATGCCCAGGCTTCTAACCCACAGCCATTGTGAGGTAGTAAATGTGTTATGCTTTAAGCCTCTATGTTTTTGCTGATTTGTTACACAGTTGTACACAGCTAATACAATTCTCAAAAGTAAACATTTATTTTGATTGAGTTGATCCTGAAGCAGGTCTAACTTATATAAGCTGGCAGGATCAGTCATCCTCTGTTAAAAGACCAACAAGGCTTATTCTTGTCCACAGGTTTACATTTAAATTCCATAGCAACTTAACCTAAAATGTAAGATATTCTATGAACTAGTTAAACCTGCCTCCTATTATGTAGTCTCATTTCTTTATTTTTTTTACACAACTGTTTGGTCAAGCCAATTTATCCACATTTCCTTATAAACTTCCTTAGTTCCTGAGTTTAAATCAGTTGCATTTGTCATTTTAAAATTATTTAAATATTCTATTCCTATAATTAACTTTATTTAATTTAATTAAGATTTTTATGTTCACACTAGAGGCCCAGTGCACAAAATTGTGCATTGGAGGGGGTGTTTCCTTCAGGCTGGCCTATACCCTCTCATAGTCTAGGACCCCGTGGAGGATGTCTGCCTGCAGGCTTAGGTCTGATCCTTTTCTCAGTCTTGGAATCCCTGCTCCTTACTACCTGCCTGCTCAATCCTTAACTCTCAGCTCACTGCTCCTTAGTGGCAGGCTTCTTACCGTTGGGCTCACTGACCTTTAGTGCCACTGCAGAGGCAGGCGGGAGAGGCTCCCACCACTGCTGCTGCACTCACTAGCTGTGAGCCTGGCTTCTTACTGAGTGGTACTCCCCCTGTGGAAGCTCACTGACCACTAAGGGGCAGCTCCTGTGTTGAGAGTCTGCCCCTGGTGGTCAGTGTGAATCATAGCATCAGGTTATTCTGATTGTCCTGCAGTAACAGTTGCTTAGGCTTTTATTATATAGACCAGAAGCCCGATGCATGAAATTCATGCACAGGGTTATGTGTCCCTCACCCAGCCTACACCCTCTCCAATCTGGGACATCCCTCTCACAATCCAGGACTGCTGGCTCCCAACCACTTGCCTGCCTGCCTGCCTGATTGCCCCTAACCACTTCTGCCTGCAAGCCTGATCACCCCCTAATCACTCCCCTGTCAACCTGATCGATACCTGCTCTCCTGCTGGCACAATTGCCCCTAACAACCCTCCTCTGCCAACCTGATCACCTCTAACTTCCCTCCCTTGCCAGCCTGGTCCCCCCTAACTGCCCTCCCCTGCCGGCCTGATTGCCCCAAACTGCCTTCCCCTCCTGACCTGATCTTGCCCCCAACTGATCTCCCCTGCCAGTCAATTTGGTTCTGATTGGTAAATTTCTATGTCAGTCAGTGTCAAAAGCTCTGCCTCCTAGGCAGAAATTGGCTTCTCGCACTTCACCCAGATTTGGTTCTGTTTGGTCAGTTTCTATGTCAGTCAGCATCTCTGGGCCTATCTCTGGGCTGATCAGAGAGGTGAGGCTGATCAGCAATCCCCTGCTGAGGTCCTGAGAGAAATAGAGGCTCGGCTGCTGAGGAAGCTTGGAGAGAAAGAGAGAGGCAACAGCTGGTCAACAGCTGCCATGGAGGCTGCAGATCAGACCCTGCCTCTCTCTTTGGGCCTTTCCCCAGGCCTGATCCACAGCCCCAGTACTAACTGCAGGACTGACTTCCGATTGTTTTGGACATTATGGACTCTGGGTTTTTATATATTAGAATTGGTTTTGATGAAGAGGTAAAATTTTTCTAAGTCTGTTTAAAAATTATGAGTAACATAAGGATAATGATATTCCCTCTAATTGGAATTCATCATTTGTACAATAAGAACTATCAAGGACCATAATAAAATGTAGAGTGATGTGCTGGGATATAAGGTTTTAAGTTCAGGCACAGTTTTCCCTCAGTCAGTATATAAGTTGAGATAAAGATATATACAACTTGAACATTACTTACCCGTAAGTTTTTAATTTGCAATGTTCCTTGCTCTTGTATAGTTGCTCTTGGATCTCTGCCCAGAAAAGTGAATCCCTCCTTTAACCAGCTAATTACAGGAAGAGGTTCACCAGTTGCTTTACATTTCAGTAATGCTGTGCCATCTATTGCTAGTGTTTGGTTGGCTGGGCCTTGTAGAATTATGGGTGGAGGTCTATCTGTTAAAACTAAAGGACAAATATATTTTCAGAATATTTTAACTTATATAAAATTCAGTAGTCTTAATATAGAAAATAAGGATAAAACCCCCAAATCAACATTATTTATAACTTGTTCTGTATCCATCAAATATTTGTCATCTGTACAAACTATACTGAGGCCATATAATTATTTATAACTTTGAATTACTTATAATTAAGATGCTAATGGCATAAAATTCTAACATTTTAGAAAGGCTTACAGTTATTGAAAGGCTTAATCATATTAAAATGAAAATATGGATGGCTTATTACAGGCATTCATAAAATGTCTATATTATCTCTCATATGCATTTTTAAGAAAGAGTAGAGGATATATGAGTAGAATCAATTTTCACTTTTATTTTATTATGAATATATACATAATACATAATTTTACCCTTGCTATCACTAGTTGCATGCTTTATGTATATAAATATTTCTGTTGATGTCAAAATATTTTATTATAAATAAATTATATCCAAAAATGATATTGACTCTTTAAATTATATTTATTAATATAATTTGGATGATATAACTTAATTAGTCCTTATAATTAAGCAAAGATAATCAATATAACTATACTTTATTTATGGTATGACAAAGATTGGGTTTTCAACAGTGTTACTATATCTATCAATTTCTGTATTTGATAGATAAATTTTCCATAATTTTAACTTTTATTTTAGTGGGTCTTTAATTAAATTTTATCTTCAGTGTCTTTAGAAGTATTTTGTAATGAGTTAGGAAATATATCAGAATATATAGTATTATTTAAATGGGTAATGGAAATATGAAGTCAAATGGAGGCAAGCTTTTAACTAGATCTAATTAGAAGACCATTTCACAATAAAACTGACATGTCCAAGTCAAAGAAAACATTTCTAAGATTAAGAGAAAGTTCTATAAATTTAAACATAGATTTTGGTTAATTGTCCAAAATATGCTTTTTATTTCATGCATATATGTTATTTTCTTATTTCTAAATTACTTTATTGTAAGGATACAATATATAATACATAGAGCATGGGAAATATATGTTGTTTAACTATTTATTTTATCTGTAAGGCTGTCGGTCAACAGTAGATTATTAGTTAAAATGTTGGGCAGTCAAATGTTATTTGTAGATCTTCAACTGCAAAGAAGGTCAATACCCTAACCTACACATTATTCAAGGGTCAATTTTGTGTGTGTGTGTGTGTGTGTGTGTTTAAATGTTTTAAATATATATAATAAATTAAATGTTTTAAAATTGAAAAAAAATATATCAATTTTTAAAAATTGTACCTGAATTTAGAACAAACAAGCAAGCAAACACACAAAAAGACCATAGATACAGAGGATGATAATTGCCAGAGGCAGGGAAGCACTTGGATATGGGAAATATGAGTGAGGGGGACATACTTTCTAAATTTATATATATATATATATATATATATATATATATATATACACACACACACACATACATACCACTGTTGACATTCACTGTGATCACCTGCTGAAGGGTGTTTGTTAGGTTTCTCCACTATAAAGTTAAATTTACCCCTTTTTATAGTTGTACCCTCAGGGTGAAATGCCTCTAAGAGTGGGGAGTTATGCTCCACTTCCTTGAGGGAAGAATATTTACAAAAATATTTGGAAATATCATGCACAGAAGATTTGTTTCTTCTCCACTTATTAGTTTATTTGACCATATTTTTTATTAATATGTACTCATGCATATTTATTTCATATTTTGACTTATACTCCAATTCTACTTTATTGGTTTTGCTGCTCAAATTTCTACATTGGCCTTTGGGTGCTCATTCATTTGGTTCCTGTGCTTCTTTGACATCTACCTCCAACCCCCAACAATGTGTGAGTTTTTTTTTGTTTTTTTTGTTTTTTTGTTTTTTTTTTTGAGTACTTCCTTAATTTCTGATACCAGGAGATGCTCCAGGCTGATCTTATTTAATTTCTGACCAAACACTAAAAATCAGCCATTTCTTCAAAATACACACATACACAATTGACCCTTGAACAATATGAACTATTATTTAGTTTATATATAAAACTATAGTGGATTCTATTTCCACTAAGCAATTCAGAAGAGAGTTTTTCTCAAGATCATGTTATATTACAATGTTCATAATAAAAAGTCTTATTGCTTATCAATCTTCTAATCATTTTGTCTATTAGTTTCTACAAATGACTATAGGCATCATTTTTTTTCTATTCTTTACAGTTTTGAGAAAAAAACAATATATTAAGCAGTCTTTTTAGAGCCTATCATGAGAAAGCCAACCAATTTTAATTAAAAATGTAAATTATTATATAGGTTCTTTGCCTGGAAAGATGTAGTAGATTTTCAACCAACCTAAGCCTACTACATCAAAATATATGTTAAAATCTGTGTGCATGCATGTATGTGTGTATGTGTACGTATGTAGAAAATCTTATAAAGACCCAAGAAAAAGAATAAACTACTGTTCATGTATTCTTTTCAAAAGAAATTAGACTTATTATTTTACTGATTTCCTTAATCAAATTATTCACTTTAAAAGTAAATAAAATAACCATCAGAGTATGTGAAAGCACAATATTATATCAATTATGACACCTCTGGTGATAATTGTGCAAATAGATGTTCAAATGGGAAGTTTCATAGAATTTATTTACTTCATGGACCAAAACAGAAAAGGCAATTCACAAAACATTATCATTTTTAAATTCAACAAGAAAAATAGTTCTGTAGTAGCAGAGTAGATACCATTTAGTAAATAACTGTTTCAAAGTAAATATCTATATAGAATTCAGGGAACTTCTTATAACCTACTTTTATTTTCTTATTCTTGAAATCATTAGATATAACCAAAATACATCTAATTTATTTATTTATCTAATTTTTAGTTCCCAAACATGTCGCTAATTCTATTTTAAATGAATTTGATCAATAAAGTAATTAAAACTCTCCTGGCCAGAAGGAATTTTCAGTCTAATCATGTTGTGGGTGAGAGATGACCACAGTTTCCATCACATTAAGGTCAATGGTTAAATGAACATTTAGGGTTTTCGGTGATCCGTGGACACTCCATGGTTTTCTATATGCATTGTAAATCTCCAATAAATCAGTCATATAAGATGGTGATGTAACATTTTTTGTCAATATAAGATATAAGTACATGTCTTCTCATCAGTACTTTTAGATTCTATTGACTCTATTTATAGAATTCTCATTACTACATTTTAATTTTCTCAAAGACACTAAGTAGAAGAAAAAAAGAAATGAACAATAGCAATGAATTAATGAGTTATTTTAATGGAATATTTTGAAACTCAAGTATATTGAAGCATCTTATCTCAATCTATAATCAGTAAAATTATCGTTTAAGAGTTCCTTTCATCACCATTAGCAATCTCATCTTATATGAACACTTGAGCTAAAAATATTTCTGAGAAATAAGTGTAAGTGTAAAAACATAACAACAGAAGCATTGCTATAGATGTTTTGCTTGTTTCTTAGAACATGGCATATGCTTTCATTCTTCATTGAATTTCAATTTGGCTCAAAATTGGCCTGAATCATACACACACAAAATTTTTGAAATTAAAAATGATGGCTCACATATTTTTAAATTGCTAACCAAACTAAGATATTCAAAACACTAAAGCAGAAATCATCAACCAATATGGCAAGTTAAAATTTGGAGACAGAGTTATTTACAATAATAATATGTGTGTGTGTGCCTTGAAGTTAGATTTGTTTACTCTAAAAATCAATAAGTCTATAACCTTCAGTCAATGTTTTTGAAAAAGGATCTTGATTTTGTGATTGCTTACATAAGTAAAAATCAATGTAGTAATTAATGTTCAAGCCAGTTGTAGGAAAATGTCCAGAGCCATCTCATTCACCAGTTTTAAAACTGTTTATCACTGTTTTAATTTTGACCTCAGAAACGCAGCTAGAATAACTACTACATTTTGTGTGATCATGTCTTCAACTAACATAAATTCTCAAAACAAAAGTTTTGTGTTCCATTATATTAATCATAATTCTGTATATCCACCTGTTTCATAAACCACATCAGTAATACCATAAATCAACTTTTCTAATTTCTCAACTTTATTTTCTACAAATATGTTTTTCCATAAAAATGTCTTTATTTAATATTTTAGAGTCTGTCTTTTGTAAAATAATATAATCTGAGATATTAAAAAGATTACAATAGAGATCTTAAGTGTTGTTTCAAATGTTTTGTAATACAGTAGACTAAAACTTGGCTTTGGCCAGAATATCAGAGTTTCCAATTATATGTACCTGGACATTTTTGTTTATAGTAGAAAACTTAAAATCTTAACAAAGATTAACAATTACATTTTATTTAGGTTAAGGAAATGTGGAGGCATGAAGAGTAAAAGATCATGTTGAACTGCAGGAAGAACTCAGCGCTGATCCTTCCTGAACATGGCTTCTTTCCTTGGCAGTAGCAAATCTCTGCAGCAGCAGCAAGCATAACCATTCAAGACCCAGGACCCTACAGACAACGTTTGTCTGTTCTATTTACATTATTTCCATTCCTGCCAATATGCTGAATCAGGCAATACCATGCACATTAAAAAAATATTGCCTTCCTATTCATTTTAAATGACCTTTTAATCTACATGTAAATGTGAATTGTATGAAAGCACATTTCACCATAAGAGAAAGAAGAGAATCAGAGAGGTCACAGATAGAAGATCTTGAGTCTCAGAATCATAGGGTCAAGAAAAGAAAAAACAAAACAAAACAAAACAAAAAAACAAAAAAAAACTACCCACAAATTCACAAATAAAGGAGAGCAGAAAAAATTTTAAGGCATCAAAAAATAAAGCTTAAATTCATGTTCACAGGTTTAAAAAGTATCTAAAACTCCCTAGTTGTCATTTGTGACAAGCTATTGGGGAAAAATCAGTTAAAGCTCTTGTCTTAACTCTATTCCAACTTTTACTATTAGTATAGGTGCTTCGTTTAAGATTCTTAGTACATATGTTCAAATAAATAAATAATAATTTTAGCATCCAACAATAGTTTTGAGGTGTTTAATTAATTTAAGATAGTGAATGTATAATTAAAAAGTCATAGGATGTCACTAGCTAACTAAAAACCCACCTCCATTTCCATTAAATATTAAAGATGCTATATTTTTCCTCTATTAAAGTAATACTATTTACTAGAAGTACCCTACCTAATAAAAGAGAAACATGCAAATTGACCACATCTTCGCTAAGCACTAAGGCCACAAGTCCCGCCCACCAGTCAATCAGGGTGAGTATGCAAATTAACCCAACCAAGATAGAGATTAATTTGCATATCCAGGCCAGAGCGAAGAAGCATAGAAAGAAGCCAAGCGCTGTGGAGAAGCAAGCAAGCAGGGCTGGGGAGAAGGAAGGGAAGCAGGTGGGGCAGGGAGAAGGGAGGAAATAATATGTCCATACAATTTGATTGTGATATTTCTTTGAAACAATGCATCACTATGTGTTTAACAATAGATTATCTTGGAAGTTCTCTGGGAAAATAAATGGAATTAAAACAAGGAGAATTATAAACTATTAAAAAATGTTATTTTATCTAGAAGCAAACTAAATGATAATAATTTATTAAAATAATTTAACTAACAAATCAGAACATTTCACATGTTAATGTGAATCTTGAAATTATGGCCTGATCAGGTTACAACGTTATCCCAATATGCCAAGGTTGCAGGTTTAATCCCTGGTCAGGGCATATCTACATATATAAAAAAAAAACAGAGACCACTATGATGTTCACTGCAGCCAGTGAACAGGGCCTGATTGAGGGGTAGGCCAGTTGGCCAACCTCCCAAGGCCTCTCCCCCCAGCCTGCCCTGCACCTGATTGGCACACCTCATTCTTATCAGCCAGCAGCCCCTCCCCCTGGCTGGCCCGACCCTTGATTGCCCCCTACCACAACATGGGGCAGGGTGGCTGGCCAACCTCCTGAAGCCCCTCCCTCTGGCTGGCCCTGCCCCTGATTGCACCCTCCTATGCCAACATCAGCCCTCCCCACCTAATCAGGGGTAGGGCCAGCCCTCCAACCCTTCCACCTAGCCAGCTCCACTCCTGATTGGTCACCTCCCACACCAATTGGCTGGCTGGCCAACTTCCCACTGTCTCCTCCAACTAATAGGCCCAGTCCTGGTCCACCCTGATTAGGACCAGGCCAGCTGGACACCAATGGTGCAGGAGTTCCTGCACTGGGCCTCTAGTATAAAAATAAAACAATAAATGCATAAATAAGTGGAACAACTAATAGATCTCTCTCTCTCCCCATTCCTACTTTCTCTTTCTAAAAATCAATGAATAACATTTAAAAAAACAACAACATTATTTCCATAAGACAAATCTAAAAATACTGCACCATCAGTAACTTCCAGTTGAGCTTTTGCTAAAATGCTTCCTGCCACAGTTAGGGCCTGGCAAATGTAGTAACCCGCATCTGAACGTTGAATGTTGGTGATCGTGAGGTCTCCGGTTGGTGACACAGAACATCTACTATTGGGCTGCTGTGGTTGGTTTGGGAAAAGCAGGTTCTGTGGAAGCAAACACAATCTCATCAATATTCTTTTCCCACTTAAAAGGAAAATTATACTGACAATAGCTACTGCAGTTATGGGAATATGGTTGGAAAAGAAAATACATAGGTTTAATAATAAAACATCGTGTTGAAATAATTTAATGGCACATAGTGAGTTTCACTGAGAAACTTTGTGCAAATAATGGAAAAATAATAAGCTCTAAGAAGTTAGCATGAGTCTAGTTGAAAGCACAATCATCTTTAAAAAATAAGTATCTTAGCAATTTCATCTTTTCCTAACTTTCTGATAATTACTTCATATACTAGTATTTGAAATATGGTTTGCTGATCTATGAAATGGGCATAATAATGCTTATCTAACTCAACTCATAAGAAACTGAGGATCTGGAATGAAACATGCATACATTTTATACACTGCACATTACTAAAGAATGCAAAATATATTTTCTGCTGATGATCCTATCTTATAAAAGAGTAATATGCAAATTGACCATCACTCCAAGACACAAGATGGTCAACCCCATGTGGTCAAAGATGGCTGACCCCGTGTGTACACAAGATGGCCATCATAAGGTGGCTAGCAGGTGGGGGGGGCAGTTGTGGGCAGTTAGGAGTGACAAGGCCAGCAGAGGAGGGCAGTTGGGGTAGACCAGGCCAGGAAGGAAAGGAAGTTAGGGGGGTACCCAGGTCGCAGGGGAGGGCAGTTTGGAGGGACCAGGCCTGTAGTAGAGGACAGTTGTGGTGGGACCAGACCTGCAGGGGAGGGCAGTTGTAGGTAATCAGGCCAGCAGGGAGGGCAGGTAGGGGTGGCTGGGTCAGCAGAGAAAGGCAGTTAGGGGACACCAGTACTGCAGAGGAGGGCAGTTGAGGGGGCATGCTTGCAGGGGAGAGCAGTTGGGGGATACCAGACCTGCAGTGAATGATAGTTGGGGGGACACAGGTCTGCAGGGGAGGGAAGTTGGGGGCACCAGGCCTGCAGGGCAGGACAGTTTTGGGTGATTAGGCTTTCAGGGAGGGCAGTTAGGGATGACCGGGTCAGCAGGGGAGGGCAGTTGAGGAGGGCAATTGGGGGTGACCAGGTCTGCAAGAAAGGGCTATTGTTGGGGGGGTGGGAGGAGACCAGGCCAGCAGTGGAGGGCAGTTGGGGGGTGGGGGAGAACCCAGGTCTGCAGAGGAGGGCAGTATGGGGAGACCAGGCCAGCAGTGAGGGCAGTTAGGGGTGACTGGGCTGGCAGAGTGGGGCAGTTGTAGGAGACCAAGTCTGCAGGGGAGGGCAGTTGTGGGTGATCAGACCTACAAGGGAGGGCAGTTGGAAGAGACCAGACCTGCAGGGGAGGATAGTTAGGAGTGACCAGACTGGTAGGGGAGGGCATTTAAGGGTGGCCTGGCTGACAGGGAAGGGCAGTTAAGGGCAATCAGGCCTACCGGGGAGCAGTTAGGCATCGATTAGGTTGGTAGGGGAGTGGTTAGGGGGTGATCAGTCTGGCAGGCAGAAGCAGTTAGGGGCAATCAGGCAGAGGCAGGCGAGAATTGTGAGAGGGATCCCAGATTGGAGAGGGTGCAGGCTGGGCTGAGGGACGCCCCTCTCCGCAGTGCAGGAATTTCGTGCACTGGGCCTCTAGTTTTTAATATTTGGTGATATAATCAGAATTTCTCCTAAAGGTGTTACAAAAAATGTTTGACTGAGACTGATGCAGAGCCTAATCTACTTTTGCTATAAGGTTTCTACATAGTGTACGAGCCTCAAAGTGAACTATGAACAAATGCTGCAGACAAAGCAAGATTAATAGGAAAATCAAAGAATGTAAAAAGAAGATAAAGACTATTTCTGAAGTAAGTATGCAACTTAAAAAATTTCATAATAATACTTTCTTTTAAAAAGTTAGTTTACTATATATCTCATATTAAATATAAGCAGCCTAATCACAAGCTTTAAAATGTTTTCATATGAGATCAGGGATATTAACTGTCATGACCTATGTTGCTTTACTGTTACTCACTTAAGAAAAACATTGGGTGTAATATAAATTATTTTGAGATATATTTACACAATGGATTATAAATAAAAACATATCAATTTTATGCTATATTTATTTACAAAACAGACATTATAACCCTATGTAATCTATTTCTCAATATAGTAATTAATTTTCCAGGTTTGTAATTAAACATTTTCAATATGTTAAAATAAGATAACATTCAATTAAAGTCATAAGACACATTTCACCTTAAAATGTTTTTACCCTTGAAGTAATACCAACGGAAGAGGATAAAATAGGGTATTAACACTTTTCAATTACGCTAAATGACTTTAATCCTGAGAATGATGTCCTACTTTAATTAGAAGCTCTTCTCTTTATTGCAACATGATGGATGTCCACTTTATTAGATTCAAGTGTGACACCATAAGCCCACTTTACATAAACATTACCATGTTGTTAAACCCTTTCTAAAAGAAGTGATGTTTGCTAGCATGTCAGGAGCATAATTTCAAAATGCCATTGCCTGTTATAAAATTTGTATTACTATATAAGGATAGACATTTTTATCATATGAAACATCATTTGCGAACAAGCTAATTCTCTCATGGAGTCCAGATATATTACTGAAATAAACCATCTGAAAGAGAAGAGTCTAAATTTTAAAGCCACTTGAAAATGATACAATAATTCAAAGTGTGCACTTTCCTACAATTAGCCATTAGAACACTGATTTACATAGCACTAATACATTAGATGGGTTTAATTCTCTCTGGAATCTCTTCCTCTACAATGTAATATTAGTCCACCTTCTAAATGATTCGTTGACATGGAAAATGACATATGATTGAAGTTAACCCATCATCTTTTATTCCCTGCTCACATGACTTAGGCAAAAGATAATGGATTACAAGCAAAACCAGAATTTTACGGAGCTCTTCTTGCTTTGAAGTGCCCGGGTATCCTATTATTGCTAATTGGCACTATCAGCACGTATTGAGGACTACAGACCATTAAGTCCATGCTCTTAGCTATCTCTCTTCTGAAAGATTGTCATAGATCACTACAAAAATTGGATACTGGAGATAGTAAAACAATTTTTTTTTTTCCTGATACCCAATCATGATTTGAAGTTTTACAATCTGCTCCAACACTTCTCTTCTCTTCTCTTTCCTTCTCCTTCTCCTTCTCCTTCTCCTTCTCTCTCTCTCTCTCTCTCTCTCTCTCTCTCTCTCTCTCTCTCTCTCTCTTCTCTCTCTTTCTCTCTCTCTCTCTCTCTCTCTCTCTCTCTCTCTCTCTCTCTCTCTCTCTCTCTCTCTCTCTCTCTCTCTCTCTCTCTCTCTCTCTCTCTCTCTCTAATGTGAGGAAGACAGATAGAAAAGGGAAAATAAAAACAGAACTAAGATAGTAATCAAATCAGATAATCTAACTGGAAAATTTATCAGCTCTGGAATTACACAATATTTGTCAAATAACAGAAAAAATAAACACTGAAAGTATTTGATCATTACTTTTTTCAGCACCATTAAAACACAATGTAGCATATTTAAATGTCATGTTTATTTGGCCATGGTACAAAGGACATTTTATGCAGTATCTTATAACCTGGAGCTATTTCAGGGCATGGGATTCACACATGATATAGCTGTATCTATATAATAACAAAACATACTATAATGGTGTTTGACACGATACATGGATTTGCCACAAATAGTTTTACATCATGTTACCTATATTGTTTATAAATAAATAATGTATTTCTCTCCCACCCCCAGCCTTCTCAGGCTCTGTGTGGCTCTGGGAGCAGTGGGGGCCAGAGTGGTGCTGAGCCTCTCCTTGGCCTTGGACCACAGTGTCCAGGAGAAGACTCAGGCCCTGCAGCCTTCACCTGCCACTATAACCGGGACTCAGTGGGAAGCAGATGCATTCTGCATTTTCCCATTTCTAACCAGAGGTTAGAAATAACATCTTGTTGACCTTCATAATATGTAAGGCACTTTACTATATACACTAACTAAATTATGACATCTCCATGACTTATGTGAAGTAAAATGTATTATCCTCTTATTTTAGGTTAAGAAAATTTCAGTAAAGATAAATATTGCTGCAAAGATTGTGCATTCACAAGAGGGAAAATGGCTTTAGAATGCTTTTCTTTTCCCGTATGTGTGTGTGTGTGTGTGTGTGTGTGTGTGTGTGTGTGTTTGTTATAGCTAAGGTCATGTTGTTTAACACTGAGTCTAGAGGGTGTGATGCTTTTATCCAAAATCAATTTATAAGTGAAGAATTGAGGAACTCTGTGTGTAGATATCAATTTTATAGTTACAAAGTGATTTTTTAAAATATAGGAAATAAGGTCTGGCACAATTCTAATGTTAGCTAAGGGAGTAGTCAGCACTTTATATTTCTTCCCATCACTAATTTTGCACCCCACAAATCATTGGGGAGTGACTGCATCAGGTGCATTCAGGAAAGGAGGAAAGACAATTTGTCCCTCCACGTCAAGTTGATAAAACTGCTAATTTGGGGTGGAACAGGAATATGTAGGAGCCCACAATAATTAAAAAGACCACTGAGGGAACTTCCTGATGCCTCTCTACCCAGAGATGCCTGAGTTCTGAGCAACAGGTTCTCTTAATAAAGGCTGTAGTCCTTCCCCATATCTTAAATCAAAGGTTTTAGATTTCCTGAGACTTTTATTCATGGTTGCCATTGTTCCTCAGGAAATTCTCCCAGAACGTGACCAAACAGCAGAAGGTGCCAAGGAGGAGTGGAGGAGTGCTGGTGGGCTTCTTCCTGAGAATTACATGTCTCCTTGGCGATGGTCCTGGAACATCTAGGAAAAATATCTCTGGGCCCTGACCGGTTTGGCTCAGTGGATAAGAGCATCAGCCTGCGGACTGAAGGATCCCTGGTTTGATTCCAGTCAAGGGCATGTACCATGGTTGCGGGCATATCCCCAGTGGGGGTGTGCAGGAGGCAGCTGATCGATGTTTCTCTCCCATCGATGTTTCTAACTCTCTATCCCTCTCCCTTTCTCTCTGTAATAAATCAATAAAATATATTTTAAAAAGTATCTCTCAGTCCTTTAGGAATAAACAGATATGTGCTTAGACAAATAACTCAATTTCTGATCTGGTTGAAGCTGGAAATTCCAAGCATAACCTCAGCACCTAGCGCTGAGTGTTCATCACAGGTGGGACCAAGTCTTAAATGCACAAGAAAAGTTGTGCATCCATTTAAATGTTGGCAGAGAATCTGAGAAGCCTGCTGCTCAGAGAGGATAAACCAGCACACAGCAAAGACCGAAGTGTTAGTTGCTTCCTGTATGTAACTTTTATTCTCTGTCCAACCCTACTGTGAAGGAATCCAGAAAGGATGATGGAACAAAGTATTTTCCCCATACTTAATGGAAGCATATTTAACTTAACGATAAAGAAAAAAGTTATTTATACTATTTACCTAAGAAAGGTAACTGAAATTTGTTTCCTGGCTATTTAATAATGGAAATGTATATTGACAGGATGTTCTAAGTGCTGTGTGTTGTCTCATCATTCCAGGGAAGTTCAGTACAAGAAAACTAAATGACTTTTCTGTTCAGAAAGTCTAAATAGTGGCAGGTTTTGGTTAGAATTTAGAGATTCTTTGGTTACACGGAATTGTATTTATTCTATATAAAATACAGAAGTTTAGAAAATCAACACTGGAACATCTAATTCCCACTTATTTTAGAATGAGTCGGTTCCTTTTTTAGAAACAAGGTAACTTCAACATTGATAGCAAGAAAGGCAAGGCAAACTTTGAGGATCCCCGAAGACAGGGGGGTTCACAGAAGCAGTCGATGCACACACTCACCTGGCTGCCTTCTTTCTGCCAAAACACAGCTGGCTGTGGGTTTCCTTTAGTCTCACAGGGAAATGTCACTGTTCGACCTTGTGCAACAATCTGATCTCTCGGCCTAACCACAAACTGTGGAGGAGCTATAATTTAAACGGAAAGAAAGTGTGTAAATATAAACTGTTGAGAAAGAAAAATGTAACCAAAGGGACAATCTGGTACTAAGTGGATGGCTCAGTGCCAGGCAGAGGCTACAGTTTTATACTTTTAAGCATTTCTCATAAACAATGGGAAGAGGAAGAGAGCGCTCTAACGCACATGAGGAAAGAAGTAAACATATTAGTAAGCAGATTTGAAATGTACATTGTAAATTCATAGGCCATAAAGTTGCATGGAAAAAATAGATTTTTATGATAGTCTTATTTTTTTTCAAAATTTGTTTTAGAGAAGGAGAGAGAGAGAAAGAAAGAGAGAGAAAGTAAGAGAGAGAGAGAGAGAGAGAGAAAGAGAGAGAGAGAGAGAGAGAGAGAGAGAGAGAGAGAGAAAGGTGGAGAGAGATAACATTGATCTGTTATCTCCTTCAGGTTCCTTGACTGGAAATCATATCCCAAACCTGGGTATGTGCCCTGATCAGGAATCGAACTCGCCACCTCTTGGTGTACAGGATGGCGCTTCAACCAATTGATCCACCTGGCCAGGAAGATATTCTCACATTTTTAAAGAAAAATATTATTTCCCAATGTGGTTTTGTGTTTGAATAGATAGAGATAGAAACAAATCGCTCCATTACTTAGACATCTCCGCTCTGTGAAGCCAGTCTATTGACAAACATTGCTTGTTTTTGTAATATTTGCAAAACATGGTACTAGGCACAGGGATACCAGAGGGATTAAATATGAGGTTTATTCTTAAAGTGCTTTTATTACAGAACTGAAAAACTGAAGTGCTGAAGACATTGAAAAATTGATGAGATTCAGGTTACATACAAGGATAATAATATTACAAATAAATGTATACACGTGGTTGATTCTACTTAATTCATTTCTAGTCAACATCAGTCAGATAATTACTATATTCCCCTTCTCGGCACTGAAGATGCACAGAGAAAAAGCATTGGTCACACAGTCTTCAAGAAACTCATAGTTTAGCCTAAACCGGTTTGGCTCACCGGATAGAGCATCGGCCTGTGGACTGAAAGGTTCCGGGTTCGATTCCGGTCAAGGGCATGTACCTTGGTTGTGGGCACATCCCCAGTAGGGGGTGTGTAAGAGACAGCTGATCGATGATTCTCTCTCATCGATGTTTCTAACTCTCTATCTTTCTCTCTCTCTTCCTCTCTGAAAAATCAATAAAATATATTTTAAAAAAAAGAAAAAAAGAAAAAGAAACTCATAGTTTAATGGAAAATATAAAACAAAACATAAAACGTAATGTTAACAACAACTGCAAGCCTATCTAAACCTACGGTAAATTCTACCGTAAAACATAATGTCAAAAACGACAATTATCTAAACCTAAGGTGAATTCTATGGCAGAGGTACTCTCTATAACCTACATTATAGAACACAATGAACAGGACAGGACTTCAGGAGGGAGGAGTCCCTTTTGCTCTGGTGGCTGTGTGAGAAGTAATCTGATGGGGGCTTTGAGGAAAGGGTTGCATTTAGGTAAGTGTAGAAATGAACAGTTCCAAGCTAAGAGCTTACTGAGCAAAGTGCAAGCAAAATGCACCTAGTGTACAGCGGGTACGGAGGGCCCAGATATGCAACCTCATGGGCTACAAAAGACAGATCCGGACCCAGTCTAAGAAAGTCCTGAGAAGCCAAACCAGCTTTTGACTCTTTATAAACTGAGGAGTAACAAATGCAAAGCATAACTTTGGGAGTTTTAACCCTCTAATAAATATAGTATAGCTTTTGAGGAAAATACATTGACCAATAAAGTAGGAAGACTAGCCGAAACCAGTTTGGCTCAATGGATAGAGCGTCGGCTTGGGGACTGAAAGGTCCCAGGTTCGATTCCGGTCAAGGGCATGTACCTTGGTTGCGGGCATATCCCCAGTAGGGGGTGTGCAAGAGGCAGCTGATCGATGACTCTCTCGTCGATGTTTCTAACTCTCTATCTCTCTCCCTTCCTCTCTGTACAAAATCAATAAAATATATTTTAAAAAAAAAAAGTAGGAAGACTAATAAAGTGGTGTAGGTGAAGATAAGAAAACCTAGACACAAGTAACTTCAATAGAAAAAAAAAAAATAGTAAGGGGGTGGGGGTAAAATTATCAAGAAAATTCAGATTTAAATTGGGGGCTAATTATAAAGTTATAAAGTAGACAGTAAAACTGAAGTTTCCAAGAAGAAATCTTCTTCACACCAAAACTACTTGTATTAAAGAAAAACAGCATGCTTGTGCCATGTTTTTTTTTTTTCTAATCATCTGTTTTCACTTTAACTCTGTTCATTTTTGAAAACTGAAGAGTAAGAAAACACTTTAAAATCAATTCTAGTTTTTAGAATCTGATGTACATAGCAATAAACCTGAAATCTGAACTCTAAAAAAGTCTAACAATAATTGACATTCATTCAGTAAAGGCCTTTACTCAGAATCTTTCAGTCCTTCAGGAGTACATATGTGCAGGTCCAAGAACAGTATAAATGTAAGGCAGCCTCAAACACACAGCTGGTTACTCATTTCTAGAAGAACACTAACATGGAAACAGCAGCAACATTTTTTCAGAAAAGTCACTAAGAGCTGTGGTGGCTTATTTTTTGTGTTCAACTTATTGCCTCTTAATTCACCACATTCAACATATCCCAAGTGCTGAAAGCTGCCCATTGCCTTCACTAGCAGAGAGGTGTAGACAAGGAACCCTGGAGGCTGGTCAACCTTGAGGCTCTGGCAAGGGTCAGAGCCATACACCCACTGTCTAGTTGAGACAAAGGGAGCTGAAGCAACTTCCACCTTTTAGTCTCATGTAAATCCTTGCTGATGGGCTATCATTGAGCTATTACTGGAATTGCCTGCCTAAGAGCTATGGGTGGATCCCAAACCTGAATAAAAAAGATCACAAGGCCAGAGCAAAGCATATTCCTCTCTTGGGCTTCTGCCTGGCCCCAAATTCCCAAATTAATATTTTCTTATCTAGTCTCTTTTATTTGCATGCAGCCTCCTCCAAAGCCTGGACCCTGAGCCTGAACCCTGAACCACGTGGGATGTGGGAGGGGACACCCGCAAATGGCAGTCCAACATGGGGTATTCGCACCCAAGGACGAAATAAATTAATTTACTAAGTGGAATTTTCTATAACTATAGATTAGAAGACTCTGTTTGATAGGATGAAGAATTCAGATTTAGGGTCTGTTGCAACATGTGGTTTATGTTGTCTTGTATTTTCAGAAATTACTTGCTTCTTACAATCTTCTTTTTATTTCTACACTATTCCACTGAATTAGCAGATACTTTTTTTTGCTATTGTTGTTCTTTGTTTTCTAACAAGAATGTTAGCTTAAATCAGTGTTACAAAACTATATTAGGAATAACTTAAAAAAACCACCAGATATTTATACCAAAAAAGACTTAAAATGGGTCTCTCTCATCTATAATATCCAACAAGATTACATCTATAAAGAAAAAGCTAAGCCTGGCCGGGTGGCTCAGTGTTGTAAGTGTTGTCCCATACATGAATAGGTTGGTCCTGGTTTGGGGGACTTACAGGAAGCAAACTGATTGACTTTCTCGCTCACATCAATGTTTCTCTCTCTCTTTCTCTTAAATCAATTTAAACAAACCACATATCCTCACACGAGGATAAAAAAGTTAAAAGTTAAGGTATAGTTACTTTTTGGTAATGCTATGGGAAACAAGTTAAGTGACAATACAGACAGCAAAAAGTATTGGGTAATATATCTTCCATCTCATTATAAAAAATTAAAAAGTCAGTATAGTCAAAATCAGTTCACAATTTTTAATAGCAGTCACATACTCACCTTATTAGTTTATTTATATTGCTTTGAAGCAAAAACAATTTAAATTGTCTCATATGACTTATCATTAAAACATTAGAGGCCAGAGGAGCTATAAAGTCCTTTTTATTTAATTTTTAAAGCGTAATACACATTGAAATAATCAAATGAAATAGCAAATTAAAACAATGCAAACAGATACTATAGTTTTATAAAATATATTTTCATTGATTTCAGAGAGGAAGGGATCAGGAGGGAGAGATAGAAACATCAATAATAAGAGAGAATCATTGATTGATTGCCTCATGAAGGATAGGGGATTGAGCCTCAAACCTGGGCATGTGCCCTGACTCGGGATCAAACTGTGACCTCCTGGTTTATAGGTCAATGCTCAACCATTTAGCCACCACAGCCAGCATTTTTTATAGTTTTTATTAAAAAAAATATTTTTATTGATTTCAGAGAGGAAGAGAAAGAGAGAGAGAGAGAGATAAAAACATCATTGATGAGAAGGAGTTATTGATCAGCTGCCTTCTGCATGCCCTCTACTGGGGATGGAGCTTGCAACCCCCAGCATGTGCCCTTGACCAAAATAGAACTTGAGACCCTTCAGTCTGCAGGCCAACTCTTTATCCACTGAGCCAAACCACCTACGACTATTTTATAGTTTTAAGTATGTCATGCTTACTCTGCATCTACAGTAAGATTACCATCTGCACTATAAATATAACTATAGACTTCCTTAAATTAGATTTTTGAAGTTTTCAAAAATTTCATGGTAGATGAGTGCTTTTGCAAAATGCTCTTGGGATTCAGATCCTACAATTTTAGCACAGTCCTTAAAACACAGCCCCAAAATATGAACTGATGAAAGATCACATCTCTGCATCTACTTATTTTAAAGAATAGGATTCACCCATTTATTAATTCAAAATGGATTAATTGATTCAAACTATGAGAAAGTCTGCTTGACACTTTCAAGCAGGGGATGAAAAGCCAATTTAAAAAACATATAATGTTCTGGCCAATGGCAGAGACTTCTAAGTAAATAAATAAGTAAAAACAAATACAGTAGAGTATGATTTTTATAATAGAAAAATGCAGAGGGCATTGCGGAGGAAAGCATAGAAGAGCAGCAAATTAGAACTGGTGATAAGGGAAGAAGAGGAAAGATGTTAAGAGAA